TTGACATGTCTGTGGCTACAACAAGTAAACATGTAGGAATTTTCCAGTTGCTACACAGCTCTGTGGGATCGCTGCCTTTTAAATGTGTGTGCAGGCAGCTCCGGGGTGTGACTGAACACGTCGTAGGCACAGAGACTCTCTGAGCTGCCAGAGGTTCTGAGCCAAACTTCACTTCAAACTTGACTGGTTATGAAACCCACTGAATCAGAGTCCTTAAAGTCCTTACAGCAGGCCTACACACACACACACACACACACACACACAGAAGCACCAATACATATCCATATGGATACTATAGCCATACGCACACACACAAACACTCACACGCTCACACACATGCACACTTACGTCTTTGCTGGTCCTGAAATAGCTCTCAGCCTCCCACTCTCCCTTATATAAGCTCCTACCACAGAGATCTGCTGGTGAAGACTGGGGTGTGTGCAAGTGTGTGTTAGTGCATGTGCCTGTTTATGTGTGTGCACGTGTGCGCCTCTGTCTGTGCGAATGCCAATGTGTGGGCAGTAGGAGTGTCTTGAATTTTGTGTGTTAAGTATGTGTGGAAACATTTGTATGTGTTTCTGTCAGTGGGCTTCAGCTGGTAATGCAGTGTGCGGCGAAATAGAAAATAATTTCTTGAAGGAGAAATGTCTATTTTTGTAGTTTTGGCCGTCGGCTTATATGATGCCTCTGAGATTTTGTGACATCACAGTGCAGTCTGTCAGGGCAAGCAACACATGCAGTCAGACAGTGGGATAAGTTATAAACAACCCCTGTTTTGACAGTTATCTGAACCAATCTTCAAAGGAAAGGTTCATATTGTCCATTACATTTAAAAACTCAGCTACGGCAAGTTCCACAGGTCACAATCACAGTGATTTTAAATAAATGATATACGGTAGGGCTCTTGATTTTCTACATTTGTTCAAATTATTTCAGCTTATTTGTTTTTATTGTAAAAAAAATAAATAAAAATTACTACTATTACTACTAAAAAAATACTATTTGTAGTACAACCAGTCTGCAGTTTACCTGTTCCATAGAGGGACACTGGTGCATACACACCTCTCCTTTGCATTTTATCCCCATTTTTCCCATTGTATTACCAGAAACATATTTTGAGCTGTCTTTGTTGCAGACACACCTTGTTTATTGTAAGCCATTAAAAACAGTGCCTTCTTGTAGAGAGCAAAGCAACAAGTGTTGCGGGGATATCAATCCCTTTCAGTAAATTAATTTTTTTCTGTTAAAGCTGACAAAAACTGAAAAGAATGATCTTTAATTATATTATAAAACTGGGAATTCATTTACTGCACCTGTTTTGTCTAAAAGCTCTTGTTGCTCATCCTAATAGAGATAAGAGGTTGCAATCGCCATATTAACTTAGGAATGTAAAAATTCATAGGAGGAATCTCTGCCATAAACCGGCAGTACTTAACTACTTACCCATTGGTGGTAGTGTATGTTTTTATTGGACTTTCTGTGTGCAAATTCAGCTGGAAATCCTGAACTGAATCTTTCTGAGACAAAACCTCCCGCCCCTGCTGTGGGAGCTCCTCAATGCCTCCGTCTCATCTCACTGAGGTGCAACACAGAGCACCTTAACAGCTCTTTTGTGCTGACAGCCGTAAAACTGTTCAACGCCTCCCCAGAGGTTACTGAAGCAAAGCGCCTGCTGTGTTTATGTGAACAATACTGTATTGTTATCTGGACTAAATCGCATTTTTATTTGGATTCTGTAAAATCTGTTTAAAATTTGTCCTTAATTATGATCTGATGATGATACTGTAGATGTAAAGACAACGCTCATGTACATCATCTTTTGGTGCAGTGCCAAGTTTGCAACAGTTTTAATTATTTTGGATATTTGCCAGTACATTTGGCTCTGGCACTGATTGGCACGGACTAACAGTATCAGGTTCGAACTCACAGTGTCATGGCAACATGAGTCTCTGCACATGTGTTTTTGTGCATTAAAATGTGTGCGTAGGAGTCTGCAGGCTGGTAAAGCGAGCCTCCAAAGAGTGTATGTCAAAAATGTGATATATTATATTTGTGTGTAAGGCAGTGTGTAGGATACGGGGTCAACCAATGACATTGGCAGGATGCTGTATGTTCTTGTGTCTTATACACTGTACATGTGGAAATCAATATTTTCCTGCATGCCAAGCAAGTAGGCATGTGTGTTAAGGCAAACAGCTATGTGGTTGGTTAGCAGTGTTTGTGTCGTAATGCAAAAACACTAATGGCACTTAAAGATGCTTTAATCAATCACAAAAGCGGATTGGAAGAAAAAGAAAAGTAATTTTTGTTAGTATTGTTTGTATTTTTAGTAATTTAATAAAAATCATTTAAAATATTAATCCAGCAAAATCAACAAACATTTTCTGTGTTTTTCTCTGTTTTATATCGCTGTGAAATTAATTTGATATTTTTGGCGCTTGGATTTGGTCGAACAGAACAAGCAACGTGAAGACGTTAGCTTTGGGCTCTGGGAAGTTGTAATGACAATTTTTCACAATTTTATGACATTTTATTGACACACTGATGGTCCAGTTAATAAAAAGATCATCAGAGAGTATGTCAAATTAGATTATTTATTATTTGCCTCTGTAGTTTGTTGGTTAGTTTTGGTGTTATTCGCTCAGGTTTTGAGATCTCTGCCTCATCAGCTCCAATACAGTTGAAGTAAAAAAATCAACAGTACCTTATCTTTCCAGAAAATGTAGAAGCTAAATCCAATTTCAGACTTGCTAAATCAAAATTACTACACAGAAAGTAAAACATTTTGATTTATCATAAATGATTTGACATTGTATTTTATTTTACAACTTTTCATTCGATTTTTACCTTTTCTAGCAAAAATGGGTGTAATAATGTCTCTTTTACTCTGAATAATCCCCAGACTGCACTGTGAACAGTTTTTATCAGAACTACTTTCTACTTCAAAAAATAGTTGATAAAACTACTGCAATGAAAATGGCAAAGTCTGTGAATAATCAATAATTACATCCCTGCAAAGAGAGATAAATACGTAAGCCACAGACGTCACTGTGATATCAGTGAGATGCATTTTATTGTATTTATGCGTCTGTGTTGTCTGCTGCTCTGCAAGGACATGTTTTATTGAGATTGCTTTACAGGAAACATGACTGGATTTGAATCCACTGATTATTGTTAAACACAACACACAAGGGCAGATATTACAGACATTCACAGGGTCATGTCCTTAAAAGTCCTCATTTGCCTCTCGATGCTATGAATCATTACACACTCTGAACCATGCTCTGTTATTTACTGGACTGTTCATGCACCACAACTGCCAATATCAGATTTTGTATTTGGAGGCAGAAACACATTGTTACTGCTTTCTGCCTGTTTGTCATTGACTGTATATTTTTATTTTTACAATGTTTTTCCAATATTCAATTATTCAATCTCCGCTGTCTCGCCCACTCTCCTCCTTCCTCTGTTATAATTAGTTGTGCATGTGAATATAAAAAAATCAACCTGTGTATTTTTAAGTAGCCTAATAGGGCTTTTCACACTGCATATTCTAAACCCAGGGCAAAAAAGGTTTGGGCTATACGATTTACTCTGCACTTTACTAGACCTGGGTCATATGTCCATTGGAACATGTTTTTACATTATGTTTATATTCGGTTTACTTTAACCCCGTTATACACTGGCACTGTTTAGCCCCGTGTTTATTGTTTTTCAAGGGATAGCCCCCCAAATTTAGGGCTAACCCTGCGCTGGATCAGGGCCAGCAAGCCCTATAGGCTAAAGTCGGGGTTAGCCCACTTTGCAATGTGCCAGTATTATGCAGTGTGAAAACTTTCTGGGACTAACAGGAGGACTAAGCCTGGGGCTTAGAATGAAGAATGCTTTTAGTCCTGGCCTGTGCAATGTGAAAAGTCTCGCCAAAAGTGTGTGGACGCAATCATACATATTTTCTGTTTTGTTTTTTATAATAACAATTAAGGATGATCATAATGTTAAAGCATAGATGAATATTTTAAACAATAATGTGTTTCCAAGACTCTTTTTTGTTACAGCATAACAATTTGTAGGGCTCAGCGATACCACAATATGGGGTTTCTATCCGACATCAAGTAAAACCAGCTCCAGAATCAACACTATTAATACTGATTCAGATATGTTTTATAATCAAAAGTGTCCTATATTTAATGATGTAGGGGACAACCATGTGTCCTTAATTATGAGGTAAATGCATTATGAATAGGTTACTTCTGAATACACATACATTCTCCATTTTACTGTCTACTGTTAATTAGATGTTAAAACGCAAGACCTCCCAACCTTAAAGAGATGAAAGACTTTTGCCAGTTTGGTGGGGCAGAACATTTGCCTGCAAAGAGCGTGACCTTAACTAAATACAATGCCAACTTTGACTGCAAGCCAGGCTTTATCGCCCAATATCACTGCCAAATCTCACTAACGCTGACAAAGAGCAAATCTCCTGAGCCTGGTTCCAAAATCTGATGGAAACCAGAAGACGAGATAAGGTTGGCAGCTGATTAATGCCAATGGTTTAGGACTGAGTATTGCATAATGGTGTAATGTTCGGCGTCCACGTACTTTGGGCATTGTGGTGTATATTCAAAAGTGGCCTCATTTGACTGTAATCCTGGTTTGGTTTTATTCACCCTCCACTGAATTGCCCACTCTCTTTCCCTTTTCTCCCACTACCTCTTTATTCTCTCTCCTCTTCTTTTCCCTCCTTCCTCTTCCTCTCTTTTCATTTCTCTCCATCTCTCCCACTCTCTTCTTTCTTTTTCTCTGTCTCTCCCTGTCGCTCCTGCTCTCTCCCTCTCTTATCCCTCCCCCATCTGTGGGAAGCTGCCGTTGTGCGCATGTCGTCGATGAGTCAATTTGTGGAGGCAGTGCACGCACGCACACACACACACACACACACACACACACACACACACGCGTATCCTGTCTCCCACGAAGGCATCTGTTTCAGTCTGTCTCTCTGTGAGATGCAGCACCAACAGAGGAGAGAGGGGGAGACAAACAGAGGGAGGGAGGGATAAGAAAAGAGAAGAGAGAGGAAGGAAACACAAATCAGAGAGAAAGAGGAGAGGGAAGAAGAAGAAGGACTGAAATTAAAAAGACTGGAAAACAAGTGCAGCCAAGACAGGACAAAACCTGATGGATGAGGATAAGATGCTGCTGCATCTGAGCGTCTCTGCCTGACTTCTGAGGAGTTTGGGCTCGGACATGACAGAGATGCAGCGTCCAAGTGTTTGAGCCTAAGCATCTCCAGTTTTGTGTGTGTGAGAGTGTGTTAATGTGTGTGAAGCCATGGCGAGCGCTCAGCCGGGGGTCCACGCATTGAAACTCCAGCCTCCCTCCGTCTCTCACACACTGAGGAACGGAAGCAACTTCATTAAATGGGACGAGGTAAGGGCACTGATTTTCTTTATTGTAAGTGCTTAATGCCAAAATACAGAAGCTTTTTGTTTTTTTTTGCTTTTATACTCCTATAAATTTGGGGATTTATTTTTATTTTTGGTAATGTCACAATATTATCAATATTATGCCCAATTTCACTGTATCCAGTTGAATTGAATTTGAGTGAGAGAAAAGGAGGAGGAAGAGGAGGAAATGTGCCATGTTGTCAGATGTGTTTACTATTCATTTGTTGATTGAGCTTTGGCAGTAAGTACCTGTGGATTAGATGCCAGCAAGACAAAAGGAGTGTGTGTGTGTGTGTGTGTGTGTGTGTGTGTGTGTGTGTGTGTGTGTGTGTGTGTGTGTGTGTGTGTGTGTGTGTGTGTGTGTGTGAGAGAGAGAGAGAGAAACGCCACTGTGGTCAGTTTCTTCGCTGCCACCTGTTGGTATGGAATTCATTAATATACATTTACTGTACTCTGAGTGCGTGTGTGTATTTAAATGTGAATAAAACACACATGCAGATCTCTAATGCTGTCATGTGCACAGTCAAACACATAATAATTATAGGTATGTGTGGAGTGTGTGTGTGTGTGCGCGAGTGTGTGCGTGCGTTGGTATGCTGGAGTACGGGCCCTGACTATGAGAAACGTGCGGTTGCCGGTTACCATGGTAACTGGCATGGTTACCACCACCTAAACAGATCTGATGTGTGTGTGTGTGAGAAAGAATGGATGTTTGATTGGCTGTGTGTGTGTGTGTGTGCGTGTGTTTGCGTGAATCAATGTCACTGCCGTACAATATCACGCGCTAATCCAATATACTGTTGAATCTGCTCGCCATGATTGAGCCTTGTGTGTTTTCATATTTGAATTTCTTGAATTTGAGCTTTGCGAAAAATAGAATTGGTTGCCATGCCAACAAGTGACAACCAGGCATCTAGTTAACCATCTTTTGTTTTGATATGTATGCTGCACTGAAGGAAAAGCAGTTCAGGCAGAAGAATCCATGACCTTTTCAAAACACATGCAAAGAAATATACAGAACGTTATAAGCGCTGACACCGATACAGATATTGTAGCACACAAAGAGATCCAGCCAGGATGAAATAACAACTGGAGTCTTAAAGCTGGTCACCATGTCATATGTTAAACCTCTCATAGAAACTGTAGATCTATTTCTAATTTCTAAATAATCCCAAAGTTATTGTATAACTCTGAACAGACGCAACATTTTATGTGGAATGAGATATCTGTTCCTGGAGCTGCCGTAACAAGTGAATTTCCCAAGTGCTGGATCAAAAAAGGCGATCATGTCTTATCTTATCTTGTGCTCTTCCTTTAATGTTTTAATGACACGTTCCTCTCCATAAATATGACAGGACTGGTTGTCGGTTCCAACATCTTAAAACAACTAACTGTATGTTTTGTTTCAGTACCTAAACCCAAAGTAGAGTCTTATCGCTCAGTGAAAAATAAAGGTGTAGAGGTCCTTTGCTAGCCTTCATCTCACGTAGCAATCATAATTTGCGTTAAATGCTAACGTCACCTGTTATGCATCATGCGTACGATGCATAACCTTAACAATAACAGTTATTTCTTTGTCATGACAGTAATTTTTCCCTAATCTTAGTCAGCTAGTTTAATTCCCCATTTCTTTTACCTATTTTAAAATTACCTATTTTGTCCTTTATATGAAGTCATATTGTGTCCATCCGGATGCTGCTTTGAACACGTGGAAAGATGAGGACAGATTTCAGTTTTAACGCAACACTGTCTTGTTGAGCATTAATCTTGTTTTGAGCACAGATTAGCTCCGTCCTGGTTCCCATTCTGTAGACCTAATTGTTATAAAATGTTTATTTTGGTTGCAGCTTTGGTTCCATGCAGCTTAGGTTGCTGAATTCAAGTTATATTTGACCACATGAAGCATTGTTAACTTCTAATCTTTGCTTCTGGACATCTCATTTTGAACCAGCTGAAAGTTGGAAGCAATTTGATTCTGAAATTTTAATTAAGTCAAAAGAGTTTCCACTATTATCTCTAAAATTAAACCTCGTCCAACTTGAGGCTATCAAAACCATTTAAAAAAACACTAGTTTAATTGTATATACTATATTTACGTAATGCCTAAGACAGTTTTGCTAATTGGATTTTCACAGAGTCATGCATGCATTGCTTTGTTGTGTGTTTATTTGTACATTTGTCTTAATTCTTGCCTCATTCTTGTTATCTTTTCATTCTGACTTCATTTTGGCTGCAAGCTTAAAGACATCATATTCTTTAACTCCCCTTATGGCTGCCATACTTGCTGCCAAGATTTGTATGAAATAATTTTAGGACTCACACAGCTTAACCCCTGTTTATACTAGATTTAATAGCATCTGAATTTTGCTGAGTGCACACTGTTTTTTTTACACTTTTCCCCACATGAACTGGTCCTACGACGCCTCATATTAAGTGCAAAGGCTTTTCAAACAGCAACACATCAGGACAGCTGCATGGCCTTATTCCACCTGGAGCCAATTACAAACTGTCATGGTGGGTTACTATGGCAACAGGGACAATTGTTGGATGTCATGACAAGTGAACTGAACTTTAGTCTGTAACATGTTACGCTGTGTCCACTCGCTCAGTGTTCCCTGTTTAATGAGCACATTTGAAAGTTGACTTTGGTGTGAGAAGGGAAAAGGAGATCTGGACTTTTATGATCATCGCTTTGCACCGCAGAGTTGCGTAAGGCCCTGATCAGACAGTGAGAGACGTCTTTTTCCAGTTGTTTTCTACAGTCAGTAAGGGTTTTGTGTGTTCCTCTTGCATCCTGGGCGCCTGTCATTTTAGATGCCCTGCGCGCCTTGTGTTTTTGCAGGAGTGCTGTTTTTTGCTCTGAAAACCTCAAGTTGAAAAAACTTGAGACCAGAAAAACGCCCAACGTCATTTATATTTTTTTCCCGTTGTCCAATCAGTATAGATTTGTGAATTTAGGCTAAGTATATGTAACAATAAGCTTCTCTTTTTTTAAATTGTAGGCTTCAACACAAAGCAAAATACAACTGGTCTGATCAGGACCTAATAGTATTTTCACCTTTTCTACTGAAAACACACAATAATGACCTATTCGCCTTTTTGTTTTATTGTGGGAATTTTTGAGTCTATAGTATAGTGCAGAAAATGTTTGCTCTTTGAAAGCTGTTTACTGTTACTGTCATGATCTTTTGATCTTTTTCACTTTATATCTTTCTCTTTAGGATCTGTCCACCGTGACTCCAGTGACTCTACATGTGGATCAACATGGATTTTACCTCTACTGGACTGACCAAAACAAGGTTGAACACACATACACTGATTTGCCTCTTCATGTGGGCCCATATTGTTAATTAGCCAAATGATGTGGAACAAATTTAACTTCATCCTTCATCCTGAGTAGTCAAGTCATCAAAAATGGGATTCAATTCAATTCAATTCAATTTTATTTATATAGCGCCAAATTGCTACAACAGTTATCTCACAGTGCTTTTCATAAAAGAGGAGGTCTAGACCGTACTCTTTGATGTTATTTACAGAAGCCCAACAATTCCCACCAAGAGCAGCACTAGGCGACAGAGGCAAGGAAAAACTGGTTTTAGACTTGGGTCAAAGACTAATTACATGTTAGTTGAAATATAGCAGAGCCATGGTTCCTTTCCTTTCACTGGTGGGTTGACAGCGAATAAAACTGACTACAAATTAACTTTAAAAATGTTTTTTCGTTTAGTAAGCTCCATGATGCTGAGGTTTTTTTGCTTTTACATTGCATTATACGAGAACTGTACAGACATACCGCAATGAAAGGCTGTAGAAACAATAGAATATGTATTATAAAGAGCAATAATATAGACAGCATGTGATCATTGATTGTCACAAACACACACACTCACACACTTTCTCTTCAGGTGGGCTTAAATCCTTAGCAGGAAACAGGATGAAGCATTTACCTCCCAGTAAACAGCTGACTCTGTGTGTGTGTTTGTGTTTCCTTTAGGAGACGGAGTTGTTGGACCTGACTCTTGTAAAAGATGTCAGAACGGGGAGAAGCACCAAAACACCCAAGGTACTCCGCTTCATCTTTCACCCTTGATTCAAGTCAAGTCTATGCTATCTCTAACCTGTATTACCTCTCCCCTGCTCTCTTCTACTCGCCAACTGCATCTCTGTGACCTCTTACTCAATGGCTGCTTATGCTGTTTTAATTATTCAGTTTTCAGTAATTTAGTGCTTGTATTATTCTTTTATTGTGAGTTTGGCTTTTCTGTACAACAAATGAATCTTTTATATGTTTGTCTTATTCTTTTACTGAGATTTTGTACTTTTATTTATATTTTTCTACTATCATATGTTCGGTGTTGATGTCCTGTGATTATGTTTGATCTTTCTACCTCTGGAAAGCTTTTTGTGTATGTTGCTTGAAAAGTGCTCTATAAATAACAAATAATGTGATATTGTTCAGTGGCAGCTACAGCCACACCACTTTCCACCTGACTGGTGTTCCTTGAATGATTTTAAATCATGATTACAATGGCTGCTTCACAAATTTCCCAATAATCCCCTCCCTCTGTTCCTCCACTACCTCCACCTTTATTTTGTCACCCAGATATTGATGTTGATATTTTACGTTGATTTCTGTAGCAGAAGAAAAGCTCCTTAAAAGCTGAAAACTCACTAAGTCTCATCAGTCTGTGCAGGGGAGGGAATTAAAGTTATTGTAATGACCACAAAATTTGTTTAAAAATACATTAAGAATGTTTTAATTCCAGCATTGAATAAATTCAAGAGTCAAATTTGTGGAAACTAGGTCCACTAATAAAAAAGGTAAATGAAGGCATGCTTAGACTGTTTCATGGTGTATTTGGAGTATTCACTTTATTTCGATGATATGGATCAAAGGTGCCTGAGATTTTTTCATGACTAAATCAATGTTGTGTATTGAACATAATGGATAGTGCAGGGCCAATCTTTTGTGCACTCCATTGGCTTTTTGCACGGAATCAGCAGAGTTTTTGCGCTAAATAGCACATGTCACTTTGCCAGCTTAAAGTGCCAGCTTCTTCAGCCAAGAAACAAACACCACATGTAATATTGGCATGGCAAACAGCATGCACATGTCTTTCAGATATTTTGTCATAACTACGTTCAAATGTAATAATATTACTGTACTGCATGTGTGCTGCAGGCTGTCCTAAAGTCAAGAGTTTTGCCGAGGTGGTACATAGACCCCAATGATACATAGGTACACAGACCCAGTTTAAACAGCAGTTTAAAGGGTGTTTTATGTTGAACCACCTTATATGTCACAGATTTTAGTAGTTTAGAATAAGAATCATTACCACAGCCTCTACCAGCTGATAGTTTCTAATGTTCCACCTGCACTCAGTTAAAGCAGGTTTCCACACCCTCGCCAGTACATAACATGCAGCACACCGGCTCCGTTTGTTACAAATATAAAATTTCACATTGGATGTAATTATCTGTGAGACCTAAAATGCTCTTACCATAAGAACAGAACACTTTGTCCATAAGCAGATGAAGCCAAATGGCCTCCACCTCCCCTCACCTCATCGGCCTCCTCTGTGTGTGCGCCTCCAGCATGGCTTTGCTTCAGCTGACAGCTTTTATTCTGTGTCGTCCAATAGGAGGCCAAGCTGCGGGAGCTGCTGGATGTTGGGAATCTGGTTGGCCGGCTTGAGAACCGCATGGTTACCGTGGTTACGGCTTCAGACCTTGTCAACGTCAACCAGCTCAACTTCATTGCTTCACAGGAGGACGAAGCTAAGGTAATGACTGAGCTCACCACAGTGACGATGTCAGGGACTGACGGTGATGGAAATGATGATGATGATGATGATGATGATGATGATGATGGAGTGTCTGAATTCGCTAGGTGTGGTGTGAGGAACTGTTCTCTCTGTCTTCCAACCTGCTGAGCCACAATCTCAATAGAGACCACAGTCTGTTAAAAGCGTGAGTATACACCCACACACACACACACACACACACACACACACATGCGTGTACACACTTTATGCACACTTTTATCTTTAGTCTATTTGGTGGATAAGTCTAGATATTCTTTATCTTTCTTATTGTCAATGACATACAAATCCAAAGTAAAGACCAAAACTAACAATGAATGTACCATTCATGTTCACGCTTTCTGTCTGATCGGGGCCTGATTCTTCTTTGGTCCCCAGGTTAAGAACCACTGCACTAGAGCATCAAATGTGTATTAATCTGCTTCTGAAGATGGTCACCAACAAAGCACTATTTCCTCATGTTTACATGTTTGCTGAAAACCACAATTCCAAGCTTTTTTTAGATTTCAAAAATGAAGCTATATTTGTGACATATTTTTTAAAAGATATGCATCTTCAGCAGGAACAAAGAGGCTTGAACTGATGCATTGTTATTTTTAATCCTTTTATGGGATTTGATAACAGAAATAAAAATGTTGGTCAGATTATAGGTCATATATAAGTCATATCCTAAAAGCTAAGTTTTAATGGTTCTTTGATTTTATATTTTATAAACTCTAAATTTTGTTCTTAAGAAGAATTTATTTAACCAGACAATAAATCCACTGTAAACAGTCGACCAAGTTTTTTAATGACCAATGCCAATATATATAGAGCAGTGCAGTAACCCCAATAACAAAACTTCATGTATAATTCCATTATTCCATGCAGAGTACAGTCTAACATACATGATTATCTTAACCAGTGACGTGTTCTTTTCAATGGATTTTTTTTTGTAATTAATGAAATATAAACATAAATTGAGGCATAACCCAATTTATTTTAAAGGCGATGGACTGGCGACCTGTCCAGGGTGTACCCTGCCTTTCGCCCAATGCCAGCTGGGATTGGCTCCAGCGAACCTGTACGCAGGATTGCCGATGGATGAATTAGATTTCAGAACATGACTGGTCTTTAATAGAAAGTGGGGAAAAGTAGTTTAGCACCATCTCTATAGTCTAACAATATATATTTAACGATAGCCAGTAATGCTGTTTGATTAGATCAGCTGTCCTTTAGGATGATATATTGGCCTTAATTGGCCGACTGATTAATCGGGCTATCACTAATATTTACATCAGATTACAGATTGAAATCTCCAGAATACTCCTACTGTGACATAAACTGTATGTCTTCTAGGTGTCCATGAAATGACAAAGAAATCAAATTTATCTCTTCAAGGCCAGTGCTAAAACGTTGTTGTCATACAGCTCTGAACTTGTCCTCTCTTTGTTTCAGGTACGTCAGATTAACTCTCCAGCCGAACGCAGAGGGGAGAATCCCTGTCAAGAAGTGAGTGCCTGATTATTATTACTTTCCTAATCTTTAATCAATGGCTCTGTGTTAACTTTGAGGCACATGTTACATAAGATGGTTGAGCATGTGAGAAAATAGCCCGACGAAATCTGCAGAGACGTGCACAAACTGAAACTTTGCTCTTTCCTGTCCCTTGCTTCCAAAAATAAACTTAATTCCATGTGCACTTGGGAAAGCAAAAACAGGGACAGGATTCATGAAGGTGCTTAATTCAGCACTGACCTGGTAATCAACTACTGCCAGAGCATGAGATGGATAATACAGTGATGAAGGAAAGCTGTATTTTAGAAGCAAACCAGGAGCTGAATTAAGGCCAGTTGATAATCTTGGAAGTCAGGGGAGGAAAGGTGAAGTTTTAAGAATGTAAGAGGGTTTAAAGTTTGGGTAGTTGAAGGAGGGTTCAAGGAGAGGGTTTGGGGTAGTAAGGACAGTAAGGACGTTCAAATTGTTCGTGTAACATTTGTTGAAGCGACATATTTAGAGTAGGTTTAGGGAAGATAGATTGTGATAAAGGAAGTTTCGTGGAGTTAGAGACAGGTATTTGGGGATGGGGAGGAGAAATTATAAGAAGTCTAAATGTAGGTTTTGAGTTGGTGACATGTTGTGGTTGAGCTGATAATGGTGTGATGTCATTGTCTATTGCAGCATTGTTCGACTGTTTTCATCAGACAGAAAGAGAGTAGAGAATTCCCTGGAGAATTGCAGGCTGCCCTACGGACGGGTAAGCACTTCAGATAAGTTTGTATTATTATTAGTGTCAGTTAAACAGTAGATACACATTAGAGTTTAGAGTTTAACCAATTAAACTTTACCATGGACACATGTTTTGAAAAGCCCTCTCTTTGGATAAGACACACATACACATACACTGTCTTTTTCAACTTTATCCTTCTCTCGCCCCTTTTGTATTTGCTATTGAGGCTTTTATCGGATGCTTTTTGTCCAGAATGTCTCACAGTGCATGGAGGGGTGAAATGAGCTCAAATATCTGGGCCATCAAGTTTTGAAGCAACAAGTGAAAAGCAGAAATGTAGGAGTCGGATTCTTTGCTCAAACAGAATCTCACATTGATTATTCCTCACAGAAAGATTTTTTTACTCCTCAGAGGTCACCACTCAATGCATGCTCGGTAAAATGGGCGGAGCGAGAATACATCCGGGTATTTACCTGTACTTGGCTAAATGTGGACTTTTCAATTGGAACAGTACTTGGGCTGCGACTGATGACGTTTCAGAAGTCCACAAGTACAGACAGCTAATGTCTTTGACACTGGCAGTTTCTGTTCTTGCAAATGTAAAAATGTCCATGTCCTTTATATTTGACAGGGTGACAGTATCAAACTGGAGGACTTCACACTCGAAGTTTACAGGAGCTTTTTGGACAGTCTGTGTCCTCGTCCTGAGCTTGGCAACATCTTTAAACTGCAGTAAGTATTTAGTAAATCTTTTACCTCATTTACAGCTACAATTGCTGACCTCACATCAGCCCAAAGACAGCTCAATGTTGAACAAGCTACTCTGCAAGATAAGCGTGTTGTTATTAGATTCAGGCCATTTTTGGTGTCAAGAATGTTAAGAATAATGAATAAATATTCATCCACACAGAGACAGATTAAAGAGAGGCTGTATCTTTAACTTAAACATTATTATCTCTGTTGTTTTCAGAACATTTAGTCAGGCTGCAAGTAATTAAAATGTTGGTTAATCTGTTTATGATGATAATTGGAAACAACAACGACTGATTGTTTCTAATTTAAACAGAAATTATTTTTTTCTCTAGGGTAATGAAATAGGTCTGTTTATTTGTCAGCTTTTAGTTCAATTAAATTCAATTAAAGAAGGCCAAGCTTATGTGAAAATAACATGGCAAAACATGTGGACCTCATAAACTATATTGGACATCATATATTTTAATACTTTTAAAGGATAATGTAAGATGTTTTTGAGGATCTGTAGACATCCTGTAGCACCCTATGACCCTGCTCTGCTCTGTAGAGGAGGGGATGATGGGACACTGTCAGTCGATCAGATGACAGAGTTCATCAACAACAAGCAGAGAGACCCGAGGCTGAATGAAATCCTCTATCCGCCTCTTCGTCCTGCACTGACAAACTCTCTGATGGAGAGGTACCAACAGGACCAGGCACTGCTGAAGCAAGGTGCACACACACACACACACACACACACACACACACACACACACACAAACACACATACACACACACACACACTGTTGTTGTAGTCTGACATTGCTAGATATTACTTTGAAACACATTTGTTACAGGAAATGGGATCCGGTGTTAATTTAAACAATACAATTGTGTTTCAAGATTCACTATATTTCAAAAAACCTCAATATGATTTCACTATTATACAATATTAAGTATTTATATGTTCCTCTGCTTTTAGCTAAAAAATATTTACATTAGGCATAAGAAGAGAAAAAACACAACATTTCAGTTTATATTTGTGTTTAATCTGTATGTGGTTTTATTTGTCTAAATGTGACCATCAGCAGATCAACACAATCATATAGGTAGATATTAACTTTTCTGTCAAGTTTAATAGGCTGTGTTTTCAAAACTAAAATATTAGAAAACCAACAAGCTGCCAAGAAAGACTCTACAAGGGACCCTTAAGGGTGCATAAAATATTTATACCAAAGGAAATGCCACAAAGATGAATTAGCTCACTCTGATGCTTTATCCTTTTTTTTACCCTTTTTTTTGTTGGAATGTGTTTCTTACTGTTATTTTAATATTATGCTGTGTGTGTGTGTGTGTGTGTGTGTGTGTGTGTGTGTGTGTGTGTGTTTGTGTGTGTTTATGTAGGATTCATCTCTCTCCAGGCATTCTCCAGTTTTCTGTCCAGTGAAGAGAACGGAGTCATCCCACCAGAGAAACTGGATCAGTCTGAAGACATGAGCTTCCCCCTGTCTCACTATATCATCAACTCATCACATAATACATACCTGACAGGTGTGTGCGCACACACACACACACACACACACACACACACAGACAAATACTTTATTTATTTTAAATTTAACCCTTTCAGTCCCAGAACAAAACTGCATTTTTGTACTGCTGCCATTTATCAGCCTCTTTTATTAGCTTCAAATATGGATTTTCTTATTCAGTTCAATAACCAGGACTGCTTGAAAATGAATATTTATTCGATGTTTGTGAAGATTTTTAGTCATCCAGGTCATAGTTAACCATGAAGGGTTGAGTCAAGGACAACTGGACTTGGTTGAAGATACTTGAAAATGTTTTGCCTCTCATCCTCGAGATTTCTTCAGTTCTGACTGACTGGCAGGGAATCCCAGCCATTAAACCCTCTGTGGTTGTTGTCTAAGTGATGGATACCGCTTGGTTCATTAGTGCTCCTGGCTGTTGTACCGTCATTATGGTCGTTAAGAGTCACTTACATATACATTTACTCATTTGGCAGACGCTTTTATCCAAAGCGGCTTAAATTTACAATCATTAACAGAGCATAAAATACAGCACAAGATCTACAACTGACAATGCATATTAATAAAAGCAGCAATAAATACCAGTAAGCGCTAATGGCACATATCGCACCAATGGGGTAACTACCTAGGGAAAGAAGTTAGAATTAACAAAAAGTGCAATCAATACAAGATAATTGTAAGGGATAGAAGAAGAAGAGCACAGGAAGTGCATGTTAGATGTTAGGAGTTAGAGGTGTTATAAGAGGAAGTGTTCTCAGAAGAGATGAGTTTTCAAGAGCTTCTTGAAGTTAGAGAGGGACGCCCCTGCTCTGATGGCGTGTGGAAGCTCGTTCCACCATTGTGGTGTCACAGATGCGGACAGCTGGGACTGGGATTGCTTTGTGTGTAGGGGTGGCAGAGCCAGACCGTGTTCGTTGGAGGAGCGTAGTGGCCGAGAAGGAACGTAAACTTGTACTATGGAGTTTAGGTAGTTGGGTGCAGACCCAGTAGTCGCTCTGTATGCAGCATTAGTGACTTGAATCTGATTCTGGAGGCCACGGGTAGCCAGTGGAGGTCACACAGTAATGGAGTGACATGTGTCCTTTTGGGCTGATCAAAAACCAGACATGCTGCTGCGTTCTGAACCATTTGTAGGGGTTTCACCACACAAGCTGGAAGACCCGCTAGGAGGGCATTGCAATAGTCGAGGCGAGAGATAACCATGACACAACGGCGGCACAACCGAGAGACAGCAGCAACGTGGTCTGAAAAGGACAGCTGGTCATCAATCATGACACCCAAGTTTCTCACCAACCTGGGTAGAGTGATGGTTGAGGAGCCAATTTGTAGTTTGATGTTATGGTGGATAGATTGTTTGGCTGGAATGACCAAGAGTTCAGTCTTAGGGGGCTTTCACGCCTACCTCATTTGGTCTGGACTTTCGGACTTTTCAGTTTGGTCCGAACCAAAAATACAGGTGTGAAATCTCCCCCGTACCACAGTCCGGCACAAACAGATGAAATTTGGTCTGACGAAAAGAGGTAGTCTCGGTCCGGATCAAACTGAACCATGGTTCGGTTTGTTTCTGGTGTGAAAGTATTTTTTGGATGGTTCGGACTTTCAGACCATTTACAGGAAGTTCGGCGTTTGCCATGTAAACCGGAAACAAACAAATGCACGGAGAAATGAGGACACAATTATAAACCTCCCGTGACAGATCATCTTCAAATAAGAGGGCCATTATAGAAGCACACTGCCACCCATCCCTTTAGTCTCTCCTCAAACGGAGGAGCAGAAGGACTGCTTGCTGTCTTCTCCTCCTGTCCTGTCGGCAAAGTTATAATGTTCGCACAACGAGGACGTTTAATTGCTACTAGCCTTCAGTATAGTTGGTGCTGCAGGTAGTAATGCCATAATAATAACAATATAGTGGTGGCAGATATGCAGATGTTCATTTTTTCTTCATTCATTCTTGTCAAAGATACCTGCTGAACTGTTTAATAAACCAATCAATGTCAAGTATAGAGAGACGCAGCCCACATAGATGACAACAAGACGCAAGTGTGTCATGTAAAGTCCTTTAGTGCGGTCGCAGAATTGCAGTGTGAAACCAAACCAAAACTAAACAAATGTATCAAAATGTATCAAAACATGACATTTTGTTCGGACCTTGGTGCGGACTTTCAGATGTGAAAGCCCCCTTAGAGAGGTTTTGTTGAAGGTGCACTGAGCCTTGGGGTACACCTGTGGAGAGGCAGTGGGAGGAGGATAATTGTCCTTGCCACAAAACATTGTTGGAACGCCCCGTGAGGTAGGATTCGTACCACGGGAGTGCTTTACCCGAGATGCCCATTGCTGAGAGTGCGGATAGGAGGATCATGTGATTGACTGTGTCAAAGGCAGCTGATAGGTCAAGCAGGATAAGAACCGAGGATTGGGCGGCAGCCTTAGCTGACCATAGAGCTTCTGTTACAGACAGAAGAGCTGTTTCAGTAGAGTGGACACTCTTAAAACCAGACTGATATGGATCTAGGAGGTCATTCCATGAGAGGAATTCTGAGACCTGTTGGTAATTGGTAGAAGAGAAACTGGCCGATAGTTCTCAACTTGAGTTGGGTTGAGTGAGGGCTTTTTAAGCAAGGGTGTAACCCGAGCCCTTTTGAAAGTGGTCGGGAAGGTTCCTGAAGCCAGAGAAGTATTTATCACATGAGTGATTGCCGGGACCAAAGTAGGAGATATGGCTTGGAGGAGATTCGTAGGAATTGGGTCCAGTGGGCATGTAGTGGGACGGCTATGGGTCAGGAGTTCTGATACTTCGTTCTCCGTGAGAGGAGTAAACGAGGAGAGTGAAGTGCCATTGTACTGGGATGGCAGAGGAACAGATGTAATAGGGCTGCTACATGTTAGCCTTGGTGTTGAGCCTTTTGCGCCATTTCCTGAGGGAGATGAAGGGAGACATGTATAAGGACTGCTACCTGGTTTTCCTGTGCTGTGTTCACACAGTGGGAGCTGACCAGGGCAGGAATAGAATGGTTGATTTTGAGTGATTTAGAGAATTGGCTAGTTGTATCCGCCACTTTGCCTGTGAAGAACGCAGCAAAGGTATCAGCAGACAAGTTTGTGGGTGGAGGAGGATTTAGGAGCATTTTAAAAATGGAAAATTAATTTCAGTGAGTCAGCGGCACTGCTTATTCTGTCATTATAGAACGCAGTTTTGGCAGCACTGATGCTTGTTGAGAAGGAGGATAGGAGCAGTTGGTAGCACTTAAGGGAAAGTCTAAACGATCTTGATTGGCATTGTCACATGAGGCAAAATGTGAGTGTCTGTTCAATCTCCTGGGAAGTGATGAAGGGACTGTAAAGGCCAACTCTTTGAACCAGTTGAGACAGAAGAAGGACAAGCAGGAAATGTGTAGGTTGAAATGCGATGCTACCAAGCAGACCAATCACAGTTCTTGCTTTGTGTTTGCGTTGCTGTGACGTGTAGTTAAATTAGTTTTTGGGGGGCGTGCGTCAGGCTATGGCAAAGGTTACAGGGCTATGCATAGACTACGGCATAGATTTGACACAGAATTATAAATTGGCCTTAAGAGGGGGTGGTAGACGCCATCCCCTGTTGAGAGATGGTATCTCTACTTTGGTGTAAATGGTTTCTTTTACTCCTCTTGCAAACCGTTAAGTTTATTGTCTTTATCCTGACTTTTTTGAGTTTGTTTGAAAATCTTGATTGTAAATTATAAAATCAATAAACTATGTAAACAAAGGACAACAAATAACCATTATTATTATTACAAGCTTTTATTGATTCACAGAATATAATGTTTATTTTGACAACGTGAACAAGAGGTATCAGTGTAGTTTGCTGTTGTCATAATGTCTTAATTTCTTGTGTTTTAGCGGGCCAGCTGGCAGGGAGCTCCTCAGTAGAGATGTACAGGCAGGTGCTTCTGGCTGGATGCCGCTGTGTGGAATTAGATGTGTGGAAAGGACGAACGGCTGAGGAGGAACCTGTCATCACGCATGGGTTTACCATGACATCAGAAATCCCTTTTAAGGTGTGTACACATGTAGTAACACAAGTCCCTTAAGCTTCTGATTAATTTCACAGAACAGCTTGACAGAAGGTCATTTTAAATACCAATTTAGCAATTCCTTGCCATTTAAACAAGTTAACTAGAGAATTTGAGTTTAATGAAATTCAGTTAAAATCAAACGGGCCTTATTGGCATGGGAAACAAACGTTTACATTGCCAAAGCAAGTAATTGCTCGCCTTGCTTCTGTGACTACTTCAAAATGCTGCTGCCAGACTGTCAACAAGAAAGAGCAAATGTGATCACATCACACCAGCTCTCAGATGCATCCTCTCTGCACTGGCTGATTACAACATTTCACACATTACCCGATCTCTCTCTTCCCTCATTTCATTTCTCTCTTGTTGTTTGAAATAAAGTCATAAAATGCCCAAAATGTCACAAAACTGTATTTGTGTCTACAAACCTCTCACGTCATCTGGCACAGGCTTTCACATTCTTCCAACTACCAATTCATTAGTTGACGAAGCTGCTTTTTGGTTTTTATGGTCTTCGCTGTTGGAATATGTTTGTATGAGTTGTGTTCCAAAATAATAGGTGTGTAGTCTGAAAACACACTCATGTACATTTGATTGTACATTTCTCTTTTTGTGTCTATGTTTATGTTTTAACAGTATCTCCTCTGGAATGAAATATGTAATAAAAATATTTTGCTTGCATGCTAACTTTCTTGCTACTGTCTGATGTCATTTTGTTATTAGGAAGTGATTGAAGCTATTGCAGAGTGCGCCTTCAAGACTTCACCTTTCCCTGTCATACTCTCCTTTGAAAACCACGTGGACTCGTGAGAACCTCTGTCATTATTAATTTGTTTATTTATGTGACAATTGATCTATGGGTTACACTGTAAGAAATCTATCTATCTATCTATCTATCTATCTATCTATCTATCTATCTATCTATCTATCTATCTATCTATCTATCTATCTATCTATCTATCTATCTATCTATCTATCTATCTCAGTTTGAAGCAGCAGGCTAAAATGGCTGAATACTGTCGATCTATTTTCGGAGATGCGCTGTTGATTGACCCTCTGGACAAATATCCTGTAAGTAACACACACAGGACAAATGTTATATTAAACATTTAGTAACTGTTGAACAAATGCATATTGTGTGTTCTAAGTTAACTACAACCAGCGATTGTCATCTCCATTGTGTATGTAGCTGGAGTCAGGCGTCCCCCTGCCCAGTCCTCAGGAGCTAATGGGCAAAATTCTCATCAAGAACAAGAAATCCCACAAACCCTCCAATAACACGGACACCAAACGACTGACGGATCAACCTGCCAATCAGAGCAACGAACAAGTGTGTCCTAGCAACAACACGGGAGGTAAGACACAAAGACTTTTTCAGCCTAGAAATGCATGTGAAAAGGGTTTGGCTGTGACACACTGACAGTCTTTTTATCAAAACACAAAACAGACTATAATGACTCAGGCTGCCAGAACTGCACATGGCTGGAAAATATTAGTACAGAGATTTCAAGCCTTAATTTAGTGGCAATAATAATGAAATAGAGTTTTATATTTGAATCTTTCAAACTGTTTTCATACAGCAAATATGAGTCACCACCAAATTAGCTTCATTTTGAAAAGGTAGTGATGGCGTCAGCGCTGCCACTGGTGGCTGCTGTTGAGAGATTTAGACAACAGAGATTATTTTTACATATTTATTGAACAAACTGACGGAGAGAGAGAAGAAGGATTTGGAGAAAGAGGGCACAATGTGACAAATATCATCGGCTGAGCGTCATTAATTTCTATTTTTTTATTTAAAAGACTGCAGGAATATCATAAGCTTGGCGTTACAGAGTTTATTTTACTGTAGCTTAGAAAAACATATTTAAATTAAAGTTAATAAATGTAAATCAGTTCGATTATATGGTTATCGCACAAAATTATTCTGGATTCAGAGTCTTCTTAGGAGTGCCTCTGTCAGAGGACACCTCTCATTATTCAGCCATAATTTCCATCAAGATCTTGGCCAAAGTGACAAATCTGCTTCTTCTGCCCACACTGATGTCTTTGATGTTCTTCTGCAGTCCGCTGCTCCTCATCAGGGATGTTTCAGTAATGAGCAGGACATCCCAGAAGAGGTCAGAAGCTCAGAACAGCAATTAAACAGTGGCGCAGGGGGAAATTAGGAAGCCTTATTGACACGTCTGACGTGCAGATCCTGAAAACAGGTCTGGGACTGAGAGCCCAGCCGGTACACAAAGAGCTAGACTAGTAGCTGTGCTTAAGTACATACTCATACATCACTATGACCCTTCAGTTAGCGAGTGGGCTGAATAATCACCTGCAGACAAGTTAAAGCAGTGGGTTGTTTACAAAACTACAGGCATCTGTTTGGTTTATGTTCTCTGCAAAAATCTCTTACAGACTGAGAGAAAGTTCTCCTACATTTCTACAAAAGGACATTTCTTAAAATTATAATAAATTTAGCATATTGCCGTGTAGTTTCTGGATGATCAGTTAAATCATATTTGATCAGCTGTTTTCCTGAACCTAAATTTCCTCCACAGAAGGTATTTTTTATCCTGACCCTGACTTGCCACCATCTTTACTCTTAATAAATTGAAGTGATCATGTGATGGTGTTTTATTTGCAGTGATTCTACAGGTCCTAGTGACTGATTACAAGTCAGCCTTGTAATCAGTTATCCTGTATACGCAGTGTATTTAGGGGCAAAAAAGAAGAAGGGATGAAGAGACGATGAGGATGAAGACTTTGTTTAACTTTAATTTTAACAGAGATCGAGGCTGAGAGTGAGGAAGATGATGATGATGAAGATGATGATGGTAAAAAGGTCAGTGGTGACATCATACTAAGCTGAGGGCGGGTCACCCTCACTGCTGTCGCCATTTGTTAATGTTTACAAGTGTTGTTTACTGTCATTGTTTGTTTGCCTTTTCTTTATGCCATTGTCGTTGTTAATCTTGTTATGTTCTGTAAATGTTATTCGTGTTGTTAACAGCTGCTGCTTTTCTCTGTCTTTTTTGTTTTATTTTTGCTGTTGTCTCTGCAGTGTGTAACTGTTTAGTCCTCTTCTTGTTGTTGTTTATTGTTAATGTTTTCTTGAGATTACTGTTCGCAGTGAGCCTGAGCTTTAGCCATAGAGGCAATGATGGCTTACTGTCTACAGGTGTATCTAAGTTTTGATTAAAAAAGTACTCTACAGATTTAGCATTGCTTTCTTTTAACAATAGTAAAAAAAACTCTAAATCAATACAGTAGAACCAGAGAAACAGTCTTTTTTATTACACACATTTTTCTTCCCAGTCAAAACCTGGAGCCTACATTTCCCACAATGCAACTCCACCACAGATAGTTTGATCTAAGATTTGGTTGTGTTATGCTAGTTGCAGCTAATGTAGCCTCCAGCCTCTAACCTCAAGCAGAGAGTTGGTTGCAGAGGTCTGGTAAGCTTGAGGGACTTGAGGCAATATATCAGATTTTGCGCTGCTCCCTCTGGAGCCACAAAAGGCTTCATACAACTTTTTTTCACATATGCAGCTACAACCTGTAAACACACTTTAGGCTCTTCTTCACACACAGAAACAGGAGAGACAATCTGGTAAAACGGACAGATAGGTGTGTTGGGTCACTTTAGAGCAGAGAATAATAGGACGAAAACTAATGCAAACAAGAACAAGAACGGCCGAGGAGAAACCGAAAAGAAAACCAGGCCTGCTGTGAGGGAAGGTTTGTGTGTATTTGAGTTTGAACGTGGATGTCTTATAGGAATTGGTGCTGTTTATTCTTGCTGTGACGTTGATGTTACTGTTCACTGTCAGATGATGATGCTGTTTTTGTCACTAAGTGCTGAAAACTCTAGACTACATTTTGTTGAAGTACTTGTGTATCTGCCCTGTGTATCTGTTAAACGTGTCCCCCCCAAACATTTGCCCAGTTCATGTTAACTGGAAATCACATGCAGTCATCAGTCCATTAAATCCAGAACCGTGATTTCAATATGTGAAACTTTACTCTTAAACTTTATTCCTTTTGTCATTTATTTTTAGGGCTCAGCAGAGCGGGAGGCAGTGGCTACGGAGGAAATGTCAACTCTAGTAAACTATGTTCAGCCAACCAAGTTCACCTCCTTCGAAGCCTCCAAGAGTAAGAAAAACAGATCAGAATCCATCCCTGTACAATGACAAACATTTCTTCTCACAACCTTGAAAATTTACAGTGGCAGAGCAGCAATGTCTCCGTCATTGATCTCATTGTTTTCTTGAAATGACATGATTGTGAAATGATTGTGAGTAAAATTGTGAGTAAAATAAGAAGTCATCTGATGTTTCATACAAGGAATGCAGAGTTTGGGTCCTTGCATTTTACCACAGTGGCATAAAAATTACTTAATGGCAGAAAGTTATTGCAGTTAATATCCAAACAAAATGTGGGAATTGTTTTGTGTGTGTGTGTGTGTGTGTGTGTGTGTGTGTAGAGGCGGCCCGCTGTTACCACATGTCGTCTTTTGTGGAGACCAAAGCTTTGGAGCACCTCACAAAGTCACCAGTGGAGTTTGTTGAGTATCCTTATCAACAATTACCACAGTTTCTCCACTCCATGTGATCTTCTTCTCTCTTTTGATGCCTTTTTTTGTATAAACCTTCAGAAAATCTGTCTAAGTCTCTGAGTGACTTTTAACATTAATTTTAATTTAAATAATAGCAGTATTATCAGTAAGTCTCTGTGCCAGTGGGAACCAGTTATAATGCATTTTACCTGTTTGTATGTGATGATGTAACAAGTAGTTTTAATAGCACAGTAGTGGTAGCAGTTATAGTAATATTTATACTAAAGTGCAGTGTGTATGTTTTGGTGGCATCTAGTGGTGAGGATTGTGAATTGCAACCAGAAGCTCACTCACCGCTCACCCCTCCCTGTCCAAGAGCGTAGGAGGAGCTATGGTGGCCTAAATAATAACATCATTATATAGCTGCAGTGCCGGAGGCTGCACGTCTACCGTGAGGCCGATATGTGCGTTAACCGGTCGACACGCATTTAATCAATAACTTAGGTTTGGACACACACTCGGTGATGGTTGTGGTAAGGGTAATTGGGTTCGGGGGGCTGTCAAGAGTAACATAGCTAGCTAGCTAGCTAGCCAGCCAGCCAGCTAGCTGGCAGTATCAAAGTAAACAAGGGTCCTAGAAATGCAGTTCCGGTCCTAGGATTGCAGTCCTGAAACTGCAGCCTCCGGTACTGCAGCTACATACTACTCAATAATACGTGTGGTCCTCTATTTGTACAAATTTCACTTCTCTTTTTCTAATAAACCAGACAACTGCTACTAATACTTCTTCTTGTATGTATTCAACATAGTGACGAAATACACTCTTTGAGTAGTTTGTCCAATTGGGCTACTGTAAACATGGAAACATGGCGGTCCAACATGGTTTCATCCATGTAAGAGGACCTGCGGTGTAAGTAAATATAAATGGCTCATTCTAAGGTAATAACGATTCATTATGTAAGGTCTTTATACACCATTGTTCTTAACCTTACATTAACCAGATATAATAAATATCAGTTGAGTCGTATCTATCCAAAAGGAACCAGAGTCGACTCATCCAACTTCATGCCTCAACTCTTTTGGAACGCCGGCTGTCAGCTGGTGGCTCTCAACTACCAAACTATAGGTGAGAGCCTGAGCTTTGACCACCAGATTGTAAGTGTAGTAAAAACCAAAGCACCATAGTAGACATAGGCCTTTCTTTTCTGAAATAGAGCAGTGACGATTTTTATACTTTATGAAAGGTTGTGACCAGTTCAACCACAATGAGATTCTTCCTTCTCAAGTTGTTAGAAGCATAAAGAGTTAAATGTTTCAACTAATTCACAAGAAAAGGACACAATAGACAAAAGCTTATTATAACATAATTGTGTGTAACAGAAATACAGTATGTTTTTATTTATATACAGTCTATACAAAGGATGTAGTCACCATGATGTCACCTATTGGTTTGCAGACTACTGTCTGGTAGCCTCAAGTTTGGCATTTTGGCCATTTTTTTGGAACCAGACGTGACTGGACGTGACCATATTTGGACAAGCTAGCTAACTTGGTTAGCAATAGCGGATACGATTCACCTCTATCCTGACTTAGAGGTCGTCATAGTAGCAACTTGCCAAACACAAGATCACGTCACGCCCCAAAGCATCTCCTTTAGGCCTATCGTCTGTTTTCCTTTAAATAGGACAATAATTAAATTAAATTAATTAATTAATTGTGGTGGTGATGGAACAGTGGATAAGACACATGCCTTTGGTGTGAGAGACCTGGATTCGAATCCACTGTTAGACACCATTGTGTCCCTGAGCAAGACACTTAACCCCTGTATAGCAATTGTAAGTCGCTTTGGATAAAAGCGTCAGCTAAATGAATAGATGTAAATGTAAATTTACAAAATGAACATCTTGCTGTTTTGAACGAAACTAGTGACTGAGACCATAAACTCACTAGTAAAGTGCTTACTGAGGTAATAAATCAAGTGAGAAGTAGGGTCATTTTGCCATCAAGTCCAATGCACTCTGACTTATTTTTGCAACCAGTGGAGTCGCCCCCTGCTGGACATTAGAAAGAATTGCCAGCAGGCCACTGGCTTTACTTTTCATACCCGGAGGTTGCCGCTTGGGGGGTAAATAACACCAAGGTTGGGAACCACTGCGATAGTGTAATCCAGTAAGTGGAGGTGCAGATAAATTAGCGTTTTAAAGTTACCTTTGTCGTCATCAAAATGGAAACACAAGACTCCTGGAGTATTATTAGTAGTATTAGCTAAAAGTATGATAAATTATGCTCTGGCCAGTGGTTATGATTAATTTAACTCTTTTTCAACAGCCATTACAAACATTACATTACATTTACTTAGCATCAATAAAGCATCATTACAGTAAGAGATTAACAACTGACAATAGATACTAGTAAGAGCAGCAATAAATATTAGTAGGAACTAATATCACATACAGCATCAATGGGGTAAATACCTAGGGGAAGAAGTAAGAGTTAACAAGTTAGCTCAATGGCTAAAGGATTGCAACAAGTCACCTCAAGCCTTTGTACCCCTAAACTTAATATTAGCTTTTTGTTCCAGATTTGTCCATGCAGCTCAATCTCTTCATGTTCGAGTACAACGGTCGGAGTGGCTACAGACTGAAGCCTGAGTTCATGAGACGGCCAGACAAACACTTTGACCCCTTCACAGAAAACACAGTGGATGGTATCGTTGCCAACACGCTGTCTGTGAAGGTACAACGGCAGAAGTTTTGTTTTGCTAAAGCCTTTATTGTGATTATAGCATCCTGCAACTTCAGAAAAAGAAAAATCCTTGTTAAAAACAGACAGACATTATTTTAGATATTTATTGGCTGACTGATGTGTTTGTATGTCTGTTTCTATGTCTCTGTGTGTGTTGTAGGTGATTTCAGGCCAGTTTCTGACTGAACGGCGGGTGGGTGTGTATGTGGAGGTGGAGATGTTTGGACTTCCTGTGGACACCAGAAGGAAAGCGCTGAAGACCAAAACCTCTCAGAACAACAACGCCATCAACCCAGTTTGGGACGAAGAGCCGATCGTCTTCAAAAAGGTGAGATGCAGCAGAGAGACAGAAAGGGATTAATGCTGAAGGATCCAATCTGACACTACAACTACGTAATCTGTCTGTTAACGGTGTGACAGGTGATTCTTCCTACTCTGGCGTCTCTGAGAATTGCTGCTTTTGAGGAAGGAGGGAAGTTTATTGGTCATCGGATTATTCCAGTGACTGCCATAAGACCAGGTTGTTATTTTATTCACTAATCCTTTTATCTCTGACTTTCTCTCTGTCTATTGTGAAACTTTGGTTATCTGTGACCTCTTGGTTTTTGGTTTTTGATGTACTGCTCGCTGCTGGATTGTTTTCTGCACTGCAACTCCCAGATATCCAGTCAGTGTGGCGTCTTCATCCATTTATGTCCGTAAAGTTTGAGTTTCTATATATTTCACTCTTTTCTTTCCACTCCAGTTTTAATTAAATTGGCTTTTGCGTGTGTAAATGCCAGAAAACTCAACAGACGATTGTTTGAAACAATCAAAACTAGAATTATGATAAATTACTATTGTATTATGTCAAAAAGTAGTATTGAGTGATAGAAATGGACATGAAAATGCGACACATTATTATGTTAATGCCTAACTTGAAAGATGAATACATGCATACTAAATTTTCCTGTAAATTGTATTAGTTGTAATGTATTTGTCCCATTATTTCCTGCTGTCTTCATCTCCTGGGAGACACATCCTGGATCCCACTGTTTTAAGAAAAACTAATTTAAAACAGCTTGCAGAGACATGCTGCTTCTTTGAAAAATGTCATCCACCACTTTAAATGAAATTACTGGTAATTTTTCCTTCATGTCATCATTACATGACTGATGTTTGTGTGAACTCAACTGCATCTCTCTCTCTCTCTCTCTCTCTCTCTCTGTTGTTTTTGCCAGATTCACTGTTCACCCTAAATAACCCAAATGATCATAACATCAGACTCTTTGTTGGTAAATGTTTCCTTTAGGTTACCGTTACATCGGTTTGAGGAATGAGAAAAATCAATCTCTGATTCTACCAGCTGTGTTTGTCTACATCGAGGTCAAAGATTACGTCCCAGACACCTTTGCAGGTACACATTTCAAGTCAAAACTTCCATTTGACCAACACTTTGGTCTGTGACTTAAAAGAGTAAGAAACACTTCCCATAGAGTTGCTGCAGATATTCATGCAAGGAGGATATTTGCGCGTCACAAGAAATCTAAATGTCAAATGCACAGATTGTCGTGAACTCGATTGAGCAAATTCATGCTCCCCAGCTCGCTAGAGCCACCCACAGGATAAACAAGGAACAGAAGACAGACCGCTAACAAGTTCCCTGAGTTAAAGCACCTATTTGTCAAGTGAAGTAGCAACAGATTACTCACATTCATATTCAGGTGGTGGAGGACATGTTCAGAGTGATAATACCACAGTGTAAAACTGCTTTGTTACCAGTAAAAGTCCCGTATTGAAAATGTTCATTAAGTATGGAAGTATAATCAGGAAAATGTTTTAAAATTAAAAGTACTCAATGTGGAAAAATGTCCCCTGTGATTGTTGTACCATTATGGGTTCTGTCATTAGATTGTTATTATGTGGATTTTTACTGTTGCAATTGTTCACACCTTCGCAATCTGTTTTTTGTCCAAACCTCAACATTATTAAAAATAAATAATTAAAATGATTAAAATAATTAAAATGAAAAGCAGTAGTTTGTAGTAAGTACAGTACATGAGTAAATGCACACAGTTATATTCCACCACTGGCCTTTTCTCTAGCCTAGGTGTTTAAACACAACACAACATGAATGCTTTATTATTATGGGGTGTAAAGTTGCAGCATCAGGGAGACTTTACGTTTGAAGTGTCTTAGATATAACCAGGTCCGTGTAACTAACTTAGACCCTCTCAGGCACAACCACCTGCTCAGTATTTATCTATTTCTATATATTTCCTGTATAGATGTGATAGAGGCTTTGTCCAACCCCATTCGATATGTCAACCTCCTGGAGCAGAGGTCTAAACAGCTGGCGGCTCTGACACTGGAGGACGGGGAGGAGGACACGCAGACCGAGGTCAGTCCTCCTTTCCGGTGTTTTTCTGTCTTTGTCTTGAAAGCAGGACATTTGGCCATAACTCAGGCTGGTGATGTTATTCAGGATGAGGCTGACACTTGTGCAGAGCGTAAGAACGATCTGAAATCAGCTCCACTGGAGAACGGTTTGAGCCCCGCCTCTGGCCCTACAGGACACACCCCCATCACCACGACGCCCAAAGCTTCCGCAGCCAATCAGCAAGCAGCTACGACAGGTAGCATCCACCTATATTTTTTGATTAAACCTAGATTAAAGTAGATCTTAATACGCTAATGTTAATAATAATAAAAATAGCACCAGCACTAAAAGTACTGTATTTTTATTGTTGTTATTGATACTGTGATTGTGTTTTTTAGATGCAGCCAAACCAGCAGCAAAGAGTGAAGATCTGGTTTTAAGTATTTTGATAGGTCAGTATACAAATTTCTTTTCACTAATCATCAATTGCTGGTATGCAATCAGTTAATTATAATTAATTAAATTAATGTGAATGTGTAGAAGTGGTAAAAGAAGACGGGTGAAACCATAAAGCTGATGATACACAGGGCAACTTTTTCAGCAATGTTGCTGGGCAATCGTGCTGGTGGCAAGTACGACGATGTTTTGAAGAGGTAGCAGCAGGGCGGGCATGGGGGTTTACAGTAGTAATCTTTATTCATTAACACTGACGGTAACATTGCTCTAAAAGTTGCTCTGTGCATCATCAGCTTAAGAGAACTCTCAAAAATAATGAATGCTAATACAAGCTTGTCCAAGCTTTAAAGGTATTGTGTGAAGCTATTTACCATAAAACTTCAATTATCAGACTGGGCTTCTATTTGCTTCAACCATTGAACTCGTGCCTTTATTTGTCTAAATCCTTTATAAACTCTTGCTCTGCACAGATGGGAAATAGACTACTATCAAATTATTTATTAAAGTCAGTATGAATATTACTTGTATAAAAATTAGGCTATTGAATAACATCACTTACGAATCATTCTTTTAATCTACCTCGAGAGACAGCCCATCGAGGCCAACCTCATGCACAGAGATAGAAAGAGGCAGGGAGTGACAGAAAGGCCGTATCAAAATAGTGTAGCCTACCCTAAAAAGGATGAAGGTTGCCATAGTTTGTTCAATTTGCATTCATTTTTATGAAAAACAGTTTTGATTCTTTTGATCTGTGGACCCTTATGGAGTAAAGGAATAAAAATAGTCAAGGAAAGGCCACATGGTCTGACTTTATGACAGCTTCAACGGTAGAGAGTCATCATTTTTTATCCCTCTCTCTTGCTTACCATGTCAGTAATAGGGATGCAGCGATTACCGGATTTCACTATTATTAACCGCACTTCAAAACGTCATGGTTAATTAATCGTAAAGGCTCCGCTACACCGAAACTGTGGCAACTTGCACCAAACGAAAACAAAGTTACAGGAGCGGTGCACCAGCTTAAGTGTTGTGCTAATCAGAGGCTACTGCACACTGGCTAAACTATGACAGAGGGATCAAACTGTGAAGCTTTAGTTCCACCAGAAACAGCTGAAGTCAGCAGGTACACCAAGTCTGACCAGGGCCTTTCTGAAGATGACAGATCACCTGTTCAAAAACTTGCCATTAAAATGTTCCTGCTAAAGGAACTAATAACTACATTAAACTTCACCACCCAGCTTTGCACGCCCAAGTAAAGTAAAGACCTAATACATTATATTAAATAACGTAGCAAGTTGGTAGGGAATTAAATATAAACGTGTCACTTACAGTCGAGCTTTCAGTGCAACGTAAACAAACAAAGCAGGTGTAACCTTTCAGACCCACCACAACGACAGCCCTGCTGTGCTACTTGGCCCTTTATTTTGCCAGGTTGGTTTGTTGCTGCGTCGAGCAACGTGCACCAGTCAAAGCAGTTGAACTTTGGCGCTGAGCAGCAGTGAAAATCGCTTATTTTCTGAAAGAGCCTTTATGGAAGACAGAACATAGTCCTCTCAAGACCTTCAGTCACTGAACATTTTACATTTTAATGTTACATCGTCCTGTCTGTGCTGAGAAAATGTTGCCAGATGTAAAACACTATACATCAGGAGCTTATAGACTTTCAGGACTATGGGCTACTGATTAACTGCATTTCAGTTATCATTTTCACTAAAACACATGTATGGATGAGAGTTGATGACAGTAACAGTTCAGTTTATTCCCTCCTTTATATCAATTTCCCCTGGAGGATAAAAGTTAATATTCCTCTTAGATTAATAATACTTACATATTATAGAAATATAATTGTTAATGTAATTAAAAATCAACTTAAGTCCTTACTAGTGTTATGAAATTAATTAATGCATAATAATCTTAATAATCGTGAAACTGTGATTATTTCTCAAAATCTGTAATCCTTGCATCCCTAGTCAGTAAATCTGAATCTGATTTATACTTTGATGCTGGGTAATCCATAAAATGAAATTAACTGAACGTTTGAATTGTGGAGAATCTAACAGATCTAACAATGTGTAGCATGTCCATATGGACAAAAGTTTAAGCATTTATATTTGTATGCATGATCTAAGCAGTCCACTATATCTCCCGCTCCTGATCGGAGCTGCTGTAAATCACCGGGGTGCTATATTCCCTGTCCTCAAACTGGCCTCTGTCAGTCTCAGAGGCTGTGTTCGGTCCCGGTCTGGTCGTGTTCAATGTTTTGGCTGATACCCAGGATGCTCGCTTGCACCTACAGAGCAACGTGAGCAACAGGATGCTGACTGCAGTTCACTCAAGGACCATCAGTGTCAAAAAAACAAGGCTATTCTGGAAATTCCACATAGTACCTTTAAAAGAAACACAAGAAAGACATCAGAGTTTTATTAATCCATCCATATAAAGGCCTGTTAGAATATTCTGTATGTTTACTTGTGGTAACAGATGTCCCAGTGTGCACCATAGAGAGTCTTCAGCAGTCAAAGGTTTACCAGAAGGAGCAGAGACGTCAGTTTAAAGAGCTGAAAGAGTTAGTGAGACGGCACCAGAAGAAAACCTCAGAGCTCCTCCGAGAGTTCAACAACAAGTACAAGAAGATGGCCAGACAGTGCAGCAAGAGCAGGTAAGCACACACAGTGTGATATTATTTTAATTACTGTATTTCCTCGTCTCTCTAATCATCTTATTACTTTAAAATTTAATCAATGTGAAAAATATTATTTCATTGTACAGATTCCAAGTGTCTTAGTACAAATATAAAAGATCAGTACCTTTTCTTGTTCAGTATGAAGTGAGAGCTGCTTATTTATTGTAATGAAAAGGTCTGTACTTTTATGTAAAGCACATCTGTGTGTTTATTTATGTGTATTCGTTCATCAGGGCTTCGTGTTCGGACAGTGAGAAAGACGACTGCCTCCAGCGGCTGAGAGACGAGCAGCAGCAGCAGCTCTTGGCTCTGAGGCAGGAACAGTACTACAGTCAAAAGTATCTGCAGAGAGAACATATTAAAATGGTAAAGTCTTACAAATCCTACTGGTGTTGCTGACCCTAACCATAGTCAATAAAGTTTTGTTTATCTATTTTTGGAATTTGGATGAACTAAAGCTCTCGCTCTGTTGAAGGAAGTTCATTTGACATGGGAAGTTCAAAATAAAAAAAAATTCAAAATGCTAAATAAGTGTCATTGAATGAAGGACAACATAACAATATAATGAAATTAATAAAAACTTGATTTCATTAAAAAGCTTCTGTTCTGTGAGATTAGGTTATATGCTGTGTTTTACATTCAGGGTTTGAGGAACCAGGTTCTGTGGTAATTAGTTTTACGTTCCACAGGCCCTGTCTTAGGTCGGCCCAGTATGCTTTGCACAGTAATGAGATAATAAATAAATATCAAAGTAAACTGTTGAGAAGTTAAGAGTTTCTGTTTCCTCCAGCTGACAGAGCGACTGAGCAATCTGGCGGAGGAAAGTCACAACTCCCAGATGAAGAAACTCAAAGATATCTGTGACAAGTAAGTTACACATGTGGGACTAAAATAACACACATTAGGGTGTTAAACATCCGTGGGGAATTACACAGAGAATTAAATTGTTAAGAGCTACTTTCATAGCAGCCGTAGCTTCAGGAGCATTTCCTCCGAGCTGTTCCAGAGCTACTTGTCATGCTCACAGTATGTACTAGTAAAAAGTCTGATGCCATGACATTGAAAAAATCTGAAAAGTAAAGCTTTAAGAAACAAATCCAAAACATGGTTATGTTTGCAACTTGAAAATCTAGTTTTTTAAGATTAGAAGTAGAACTGACATGTTGACTTTGACCAGGGACATCTTTGGATTTTAGAAAGGTCACTTTCCCACCAAGAAATATCACTCTTACAACATCTTAAGGTTGGCCAGTAAGCACCTTTTACCACTTTTTACTGTAACATTTTCACATTTTAACACTTTTCCTGCTGCAGATTCAACCATTTTCAACTCCGAACACACCTACCTGTAATTTAGCATTTTATGTTTGCCATATGCAGTATATACACTTTTTGTTTGGATGCTTTTGTACCATGTAAAGCACATTGACCTGCCCTTCTGTATGTATAATTGTGCTATACAAATAAAGTTGCCTTTCCTTGCTGCTACAGGGAGAAAAAAGAGCTGAAGAGGCAGATGGATCGAAGGAGAACAGAGAAGATCAACCAAGCAAAGACCAAAGAGAAACATCTGGCTGAAGAGTACGATCCATAAACACACTGACACACACCGATATTAATCTACTGCAGCTCACCCTAGATACCTGCTGCAGCTCCTTCATCTACTTCATGCACTGATCCATCCAGCTAGTCTTTTCAGAAGAGAAAAATATTTAGCTCAAACCCCTCTGACTGTGTGTTACCAGGGAGAAGATGGAGATCAATAAGTCCTACGTCAATGAAGTCGTCCAGAACATAAAACGGGTGAGCAGAGGATGGAGAATCTGAGCAGCACAGGATTTTTAAATGGGTTTTTCTATAGACTGATGAATACTGTTGTGACGATGATGAAAATGTTTGGGACATTATCTCCCTGTCTAGCTGTATCCCAGTCTCTCTTCAATCATAAAACGCTTCATTAGACTCTTAGACTGTTTGTCTGTTTTTTTCTCCAGCTTGAGGAGACTCAGGCGAAGCGCCACGATCAGCTGGTGGAACAGCACAGCGAGCTCCTGCAGGAGATACAAGACCAGAAACCAAAGGTAAAATACACATGTAAATTGTCTTTTTCTAGTCTCTGGTTTGCCAGTTTCTGTATATTATGAGGTTAATTTAATTGTTCTGTCCTGCCTCAGTGAAAATGCACCTCCTACCACTTTGCATACTTCACTCGAATGCTCCACACAGCAAGAAATGTCTTCTGCTGCTGCTGTCTGTAGCTCCACATCTACACAGCTTTGGCATCACTACTGACGTCAACATAGGGCGTTGCGTAAATGTGTAACCCATCTGTATCAACAGTAGGAAATGAACAATGCAAATTTCTGTGTTTTAACTGGGAACTGAGCCATCACCAGTACCTTTAACTGATTCGATTCCTGATTTGTTTACAGCAGTAGCTAATCGTGGTGTCTGCTGAACAAACCATCAGCAGGCAATCTGTCTGAAAGAAATCTGTAATCAATTATGAATCACAATTCTCTTTTCTCTCTTCAGCTGCAAGGGGCCGTGGAGGCAGATTTTCAGGAGAGGTTCCAGTGTTTGCCGGGAGAGATTGAAGACTTTCTGCAGGACAGGAAGACAGAGGTTAGAGGTCACAGCAAGTCCCGGCCATCGACCCCACACGAAGCTCTGTCAGAGGAGGACTGAAGAGAAACAAATGTGCAGACGAGTCATGGGAGTGTGAAGAAGAAGAATCGATGAATCAATGGAAGCAGAGTGGAGTGAATCAAGAAGTGGATCAAAATACAAGGAAGTAAGAAATGCAAAAGGGAAGCATTGATGAAAGGCTAGTGCGGGAGTAAATAAAAGCAGAAGAGATATCAAGATTATAAAGACTGTTACTTTTCTTTTTAATGGAAGAATGCTTTAATGATGTATTTTTTAATTCCATTCAAGCATGCACTTTGCTGTACTTCAGCATTTAATCAGAACCCATTTAGTCTTATTTTCTTTCACTTGTTATTTTAGAGGACAACTGAATCAATCTATCTATCTATCTATCTATCTATCTATCTATCTGACAGTTTGTACTATTTATTTGTGTTCATACATTTGAATATCAGTGTACATACATCAGACTCGAGGACGGTCTCTATTTTATATGCACATGGAGAGATGTTACACAATGTTACACAAATGCTACGAATCCAAACCACACATTTTTTTGAGCAGCGTTCAACAAACTCTAAGCAGCTATTTTATCTTCTTATTAGTCAGCCACCGTGGCGGCCTCGACGACTTCTACAATGGGCACTGCTAGTTCCTCAGCTGTGTCTTATAAACACTTATTTATCATTTTTTGCAATGCTCTCTTTTCATATAGTTGCACACATTCCCACTCTGAAACTTCTGATGCATATGGATAGTCTGATCTTTTGGCCTCTGAGCAGCTTTGCTGGAGCATCTGGAGTTCAGTGGTAATGATGGAGATTTATCCACCACATTTTGCTAGTTTGAAATAATGTAGAATTAGAAATGTTGCATACTTTAAAAATACAGAATGATGTACGCAGCAGTACAAGATAACACACATACCATAGCGTAATGTCAATATTATATACTTTTCACTGATTTTTACGGTCATGGTTTTATGTTACATCAGTGCATTTAATGCCATGTAATATTTCAAGAGCATATTATCAGGCCGTTTTATGGGGTTGTTTTTAAAGCTGACAGTCATCTGTGTAACAAGTAAGACCTTAACAGGGATAAAGCCCATATTCAGACCATGAATGAGTATGTTGACACACTTGTTGCAAGATTTATGCGATAGGCGACTGGATCATTTATTGAATCCTCACTTATTTGCTTTGATTATGCACTTATTTATTTATTTATTCTTATTTATTTATTTCTTCTTGAGATTATTGGAGAAAATGTATCTCAATGGAAATTTCTGTTAAGTTATTAAAATTATTTTTCATAGCATGACTGTTAGCCTAAGACATTTATGGATTGATGTACTTTACTAAAGTTAAGGGAACTAGGAGGATTTGCACAGAAAAATTATGCGATAAAATTCACCTATTTTTTTTTTTTTAATGATCAGAGTTTTCTGACCAGTAGCAGCAACATCCCACCAGTTCCCTTCGCCTGCTGTACTAATGGTCTGACGGTTGGATGTCCTGTTAGATGTGGAAGAGCCTCAAAGTTTGCTGCCACTGCATGATTTATTTGTTTTGATGTGAAAGTTGTTTTAACAGAGTCATCACTCGGATGATCTCTTTATTTATTGATTGTTATTTTCATGATAATTAAGGATCAACAACATAAACAATTTATAAAACTGTTAAAATAGTTTTAGAGTGCAAAGTCAACCTTTTTTTTTTGTAAAAATGTAAAATGATCGGAGCTTGACACTCTTTGTACAGTGATCTTCTAGAAAATATCTGTCGGAACATTTTCCATGTTTTCCTTTTCTTCCGGACGTATACAACTAAGGCTTAAGCTGTGTTCAACAACCTTTTTTGCAGGGAACCGTTTCTTAAAATTTAAGCCACTGTTGATTGAGATTGAACAATCTTGGCCACGGTCTGTACCCGACCTCATTAAGGTAGCCTACACTGCAGTTTCGATGGCAATATTTTAGACTCAGCTGCTAACTCTGTGTGCTAACATTAAAGTACCTCACTATTCTGTCACCACTGTAGGTCAAAATTATCTGTTAAAAACATGTTTAAGTCTACAAAGTGGCTGAGGTTCTCCAACAAAATGTCTTGCTGAACGCACCCTTGCTTTAGTGATTAAACTGAGCATGCTTTATTGTCTTGGATTTCTCTGCCAGTTGAATTGTTTCTTGGTTTTACTGAATGCTATTTTAATTCAAAGACTATTAAAAAGATTTGATCTAAAAAATGAGGTGTTAGCAGTTGATATTACGAGTGCTACAGTCCTATAGGATCTCAGCTGCATTAACTTTTAACATGCTCTGGTGAGGCGTGTGAGAGGAGGTAATTGCTGTTGTCATTCACATCAAGACAAACCCACTGCACTCGTGTCTGTACACAAAACTCTGCTGTTGCTGTAATTTTGTGTGTGAGCAAGATAATGTGGGCTTTCACAGAGAGGCAGTGTGCTATGTACTCGTCATGGGGGAGGAAGGTGGAGGAGGGTTTCAAGCTGAGAGATGGTCTGTCATTATTTTGTTTGGACTACAATAAGTAAACTTTCTGCCTGTCTAAGTCACTGACAGTATGGACATTTAATAAATAAATTGAATATATATATAGTGAATATATAAATTTGGATTTGTTGCTTATTGTGGAAGGCTTATTTGTTTGTGTATTTATTCAAAAAGAAGACATCAACTTTATTAATCTCTCTATGAGAAATTAATTTGTTTTCTTTCAAAATGTACGGTATTTGTTTTATTTATTTTTGTATTTACCTTGCAGACCTCACTTGTGTCATATTATTTGCATTTTTTCTTTAAATAGTCCATTTTAACTTAACTTAAGTGAACCTTCAGTAAGTCAATTATTACATGTTTAAACCCACATTTAAATTACATTACATTTACTCATTTGGTCGCTTTTATCCAAAGCGACTTATATTTGAGGAACAACATACAAGCATCAACAGAGCATCAAATACAGCAGGACAATACATACTAGTAAGAGCAGCAATAAATACTAGTAAGAGCTAATAGCACATATCACATAAATGGGGTAAATACCTAGGGAAAGAAGTAAGGGTTAACAAAAAAGTGCAGTCAACACAAGATAATTGTAAGGGGATAGAAGAAGAAGAGCACAGGAAGTGCATGTTAGATGTTAGGAGTTAGAGGAAGTTATTTTTTCATTTCTACTCATGATCACAAGATGACCAAAGATATTAAATATGTCAAAGTAATTACAAATAATGTGTTTAAAATGATGCACAAGAACTCTTCAATTAAAAGCCAATAGAAATTTGCATCCGAGATTCTAAACTTCACTAATCAATATTATTTAATAATAACATTGGATTAATGAATCTGTGTTATTTGAAATGGGTTCATCACATTACCACAGAAAGTCACCAGTTGTGCAGTTTCTCAGATCTTTTTTTAGCCTCTTTTAGCTCATTGTTTGTTTTACTGCATATTTGCTGTGATTCAGACTCCTCTCTTTCTCAACCTCATTTCCAGCAGCAACTTTAACAAAAAAGCTCTGATACATTTATTGACACTTCCTGCGCAGCACCAAACCAGCTGTAAAGACAACACTAACGTATTATTTCCTTTTCATAGGTATGGGGAACTTGTTTGCCAACAGTGTCTTATTGCACACATCCAGCAGTCACAGAGAAGCAGCATCATTCATTTTGGATTCATGTTTGTGACCATCTGTCCAGTATTCACTCATTTTAGCTCTGAGTTTAGTTTCCACCAACTGCTGCTCTTTGGTGCTGAGCATGTGATGTAGCCTACAGTGGATTTATCACAGAGCCTTTTCACTAAAACTAGCTGCATGCAGTGGAGAGTGCTGAGAGAAACTTCAGTGTAGGATGATCATTCCCTTCTTATGCAAGTACCGTAGTCATGTGAGCTGTTGTTACTATAAAAACACTGATTATTGCATCATTGGGGTCTTTTTTTGGCTTTCCTTTATTTTGTTATATATTTATTTTGTATATGTATTAAGTTTGCAAATTGAAAAAGCCCAAATTCCGCCTCAAAGGAATTTATTTACCGTCTCCCACAGTAAACACTGCTCCTGAACTGCCTGAACAGCTTGATTGTAGTCCAGCCTTAACTTCTGTAAACTATCTGCATTAAGGTATGCCACGCCCACAGAAACGCTGGTGAAAGAAACACACTGAGCTGCAGAGCACCGTTACAAGACGTACGCCCACTCCCCTCACCTCCACCCTCCCTACTGCACTTACTCTCCAGGCTGTCAGTGGACATAAAGTTGTTGTGATGTAGAGACACAGTTATTAAAACGTAACGTATGAAAGATAAATTAAGAACTTTACTTCACTCTACTTTGCTGGCCCTATTGGCGAGTTGTCCTTACCTACGTACTGTACATGTGCAACTCCCAACAAAGATTTTATAGAAGTGAGATGCTTCACTTCGTAGCTAAAATGGAGCATTTAAAACAGGGTGAAAAGCAGTGCTGCAGCAATGTGCAGTGTGACAATAATATGGTGTTTTTTGAAAATTATACCATGTAAATCTGTTCTCGTACAACCCCTAAATAAAAATATGAATCTAAAAATTAGCACAATATGACCTCTTTAAGGTGATATGTCAGAAATGTGTGTGTTTCAGCTTGCTGAATGGTTCTACTGCCCCCTAGTGGCCATATGTCAAGCATTAATCATTGGGGGAAATTAGCTAATTGGCGTAATGTGGGATGTTTAAGGAGAAATTTGATGCTCAAACATTCAAGCTATTATTTTCTTTAAAATTGACAACTTTGGGAATTTTATACAGAATAATTAGGTCCTGTTAAAATCGCTTCACATCCAGAGTTATCTAGAGTAATTAGAGTAATGCTTTTGCAAAGAGGTGTTGCCCTTATTTAAAAAAAAATCAAATTAATAAATGTTATGTGAACCACAAACAAAATTCAACTTTCCTTTATTTTATGTGAGTGGGCGCTAAATCTAAGAGACGGATATCACCACTACAGGTAATCGAGTAAATATAATAATGTTTCTTTTTGTAAGTCTGTTGTTTTTTGAGGCCCACTTCTAGATCAGTTCAGTTTAGTTCAGGTAATTTTATTATCCCAACTGAGAAACTTGACTTGCAGTCACGGTAGCTGCAAGATTAAAATATCTAAGAACAACACATGAACAAAAACAAAACAAAACAAATACAAAACATGTGACCAGTACAGTAGGCTACACTATATAAAAAAAACACCCTACAAACGTAAAACAATCTAAAAACCACTTAACTTTAACTAGACTGTTAGCCTCTCCGATTGTTTCCAGCAGATGGTGGCAATGAGCCACAAATGACCTTTCTCTCTCCGCAGAAGAAGAGCTGCAGCCTCTCAGCATCAGCACCCATCAGCACCAGACGTCAACCCCTCTGCTCTGCTCTCCTCTCCGTCCACTGCGGAACATCGGCCTGTTTTCCTCCCATCACTCCTCCAGCGGCAGACCCAGCTCGCCATGGACAACACCGGCAAAGAGAAGGAGGCCATGCAGCTGATGGCTGAAGCCGACAAAAAGGTCAAAGCGTCTGGATCCTTCCTCGGAGGGATGTTCGGGTAAAGGATGCCCTCTCTTCACTGTCTCTGTTTACCTCTCTCTTTCTTTCTCTCTCGCTCTCATTTTGGTTTGGTGGAGAGATTGGGGCCCATCAAAGCCTCTTAAGTGCTTCTGATTGTCTTGACGGAAAAATTTCTGTAACATCCTTATAATATTAAAGGCCCAGCCGTATTGCGTTTATGTGGTGCTTTAGCTTTAGAGGCCCGATCAGACCCTGTATTGTTAAATTTTATAGGCCTGATCAGATCGTATACTCTTGGAGCTGATAACTTTCACTATGACATTGTGTCCTCCTGAAATATTTCTCCAAGGATTACCAGAGCTTCCCTTTTCAATGATTGTGTGCCAAAAATGAACTGTCATCGCAGCATCGCAGATAATGTGGCCTGCGTGTCGTGGCTTGTGATGCAAGAGAAATGTAAAAATGTGGCACATCGCCTGCTGCTGCTGCAGGATGTGAGCGGGCTCGTACGGAGCGTGAGGCCGGGTAAGAGATGCAGGGAGGCGGGGAGAGCAGCGCAGCAAGGACGGTGTGCCAGAAGACAGTCGGTGGTGATGTGGTGATGCGGGGGCTGGTTTTTTATGTGGTTTAGGTGTGTGTGTGTGAGAAAGAGAGAGAGAGAGAGACAGAGAGAGAGACAGAGAGAGAGAGACAGACAGAGACAGAGAGAGAGAGACAGAGACAGAGAGACAGAGACAGAGACAGAGAGAGAGAGACAGAGACAGAGAGAGAGAGAGACAGAGAGCGCAGATGGGAGTGGACCTTAATGTGTGGGAGTGGCGGATGTTTACAAGTAAAATGGAAAGACTGGAATATAAATTTGAAATGATGTAACCAGATAGATATATAGGATCGAAATTGTGGATAAATGCAGAAAGTGGAGTAAAAATTCACATGAAATAGATATAATAAAAGGAACTCAAAAGTGGACTGACATACAAGGTTCACGGCTCAATTAATGCCTGAAACTTGATCTACAGGAATATTTTAACACATTTAAACACTATTTAATATGTGTGATAATAATAATTTCCGGTTTGGATTGTTGGTAGGACAAACCAGAGATTTGAAGACATCCTTGCGCTTTAGGAACTTGTGACAGATATTTTCTGACATTGTAGCAAACAATTATCAATACTTAAAATAATTGTTATCTGCAGCTTAAAGCGTAAGATATAGATAACCACAAGAATACATGTTGAAGAAATATAAACTAAGACAATATATATATATCAGTTTCACATCGAGGTATAAGAAGTTTTAAAACATTAACCAAATTAGTAAAATTCAAATGTAGTTACAGCATATTGTACCACTTTCCCTTGCAACCCCCCCCCCCCCCCCCCGCTGTGTTCACATTTTTCATCTTCATGATATTAAATCAATGTTACAGATAAATAACATCATACCACTTGATTCTGTAATCAGGCAGTGGTCCTCAAATTAAAGTGGGTCACGTCTGTTTCACCCACATGAGCACCAGCATGTTTTTTTAATGAGCCTCAGCACCGAGTTAGTTAAGAGATGAAGCAAACTCAGCGGGGGTCATTTAGTGGTTTTGGCAGGTTGTGAGAATCCACTGTGCATCAACGGTAAATAAGTGTGTGATCTTAAAATGTGTGTAGACTCGCCTTAAAGTTGCAAATCCATATGTTCATTTTGACTGATGATACAGGAACCAATACGTTTCATTTCAGTGGTATAAACTAGAAATGTGCCTCTAAAAAAGACAAGTGTTGGAAAAGCTACCACAGAACAAATGATAATAACAAGATCCCAAACATTGTCCACTGCTCACAAACCAGAACACTTTATTTATCAAACAGACAGCGTTGCAATCTGATGAAAATCCTTGATTGATTAAAACCTTGTCTGTTTGATAAATAAAGACTTGAACAAGATACAGGATCTTCATTATTGGCATAATGAACATTTTTTAATATCTTTGTTGTTGCATGTTTTTTCTACAGCAGATTTCTCTGTAAGATACTGACTATCACGCTTTTACCCGAAGTAAACAACAAACTGGAGGACTCCCTTCAACCATATTCAGAAATGCACAGAGAGCCAGATATTAACTTTACTGAGTTCTGTTATGGCAAATGAAAATACACACCAATGTTATGTACTTCAAATCTGAATTTGTGACCTTTCTGTCTCTACACTGGCTGCTTGCTTCACCTTTGTCCATGTTGTTCTTCTCCATCAAACAGATGCAGAACGGCAAAGCCCGAGCTCTGTGCCATGGAGAAAACACTGTGTGAACTAGTTCAAGCTGCAGTCACCTGGCCACACACAGATATTTATGTATATATATATATATATATATAGTAGAAGAGTCAGATACACAAATTAACCTAATTCAAATATGAAACTGAATTCCATTTGAGTTTTATATCTATTCATACTGCATTAAAAAAAAGGAGAGAGTTTAGAGAGTTTTGGCTGCAGGGTGAAAGTATCCTCAGCTGCTGGACCACACGCGCTAGTTGCACGTCCCCCAATATGCCCTTTCATATTGGGACAAAGTTAAAGTGGGGCGGTTTTCCCCCTAGATTAAAATAAATAAACAATTAGAATAAAAGAAAAGTAAACAAATACTTTTGTTTGTCTTTGCCTTTCGTGTGTGTGTGTGTGTGTGTGTTATACAGGGGAAACCATAAGGTGGAGGATGCCTGTGAAATGTACGCCAGAGCAGCCAATATGTTTAAGATGGCAAAGAACTGGAGTGGTAGGTGACACACACACACACATATATATATGTTATAATGCATACAAAAAAACACACTGTGCACAAACAAACAAACTCCCACATAAGCACCCACACACACATTTATTTGAATATTTTGTTCCATCCACATTTTAACAGGATATAAATGATTCAACAGCCTGAAGGCAGTATGATATTACCATTTACAGCGATAAGATCTTTAAATATATACATACATACATACATGTAGGTAAATTCAGGACAGTATGGACAGATAAGGGAGACATTCTTGGCTGCAGAAACCAGTGTGTGCTCTAGATGTGCCAATAATAGCTCATGCTAAGCAGAGTTTAGTGTTTAGTTGTGTGTTTTGATGTTTCTGCAGCCTGATGTGTCGACAGACAAAATTGTGAAACAGTCATGTAGATCAGCGAGAGTAACACAGGTTTAGTACAAATAGAAACTGAATTTGGATTACAATTGCATTAATTTAGGCTTTTCCCACTCAAACTGCGGCTGTGTGTTTGTGTCTAGCTGCGGGGAATGCTTTCTGTCAGGCCGCTCGGCTCCACATGCAGCTCCAAAACAAACTGGACTCTGCCACCAGCTTCGTTGATGCCGGCAACGCCTACAAGAAGGCCGACCCACAGGGTGAGCACTGCTGTCTTACAAACACACACACATGGTGGAGTCAGTGATCGAGGATCTTATCCACTGCAGCTCTGTTCTGTCGCAGTTACTCCTACAAACTTAAATGCCATGTTTTCCAAAAAGATGTTAAAAACAGAACATTTAGTCTTTATATTTCATACAGTTTCTTTCTTTCTTTTCCTGACATAAAACATGTTTATCACTTTTGTTATGTAAGAAAAGAAAACATCAGGCGTAAATGCATGGCTAAAAGCACATAAACAAGTAGCTACACAGATGATTGGGCTTATTATATGTTGGATTTGGAGTCTAGTTTTGACAGGTTGCTGTTTATAATCCTGAGATAAAATCAAAGGTTCATATCAGCTGGGAGTTCAAATAATGTGCGTATGTGTTGTTTATAAATTTGTTTGCTTTCCGATCAAAGTCACTCTCAGTCCTTCCTGTTGCGGTTGCCATTTCTCTGCATCCACCATTTCACGCAAATTTGCCTTCTTTTCTCAGTTTCTTCATCTTCATCTCATAAATAAGGAATTGATAGATGTCCATATCTACATTGGTACAGGCGCTTGCAAGAACTTGTGTTTTCACTGGATTTGAGGTGCTGCTCAGCTCTTCGTTATTTGTTATTCATTCTTTTCTTCTGTAACTACTGAGTTGTCCAGTTGTGGTGTGTGTTGGCAGAAATCAGTCTTTATGTGTTCCCAAATTTACAGATGCTTAAAGACCTGATCTAAAATATTTTTCTACATGCTAATCCACGTGTGTGTGTGTGTGTGAACCTGGAAACCTTATTTTTTGCCTGGAGTCTCTGACTATTGTGGCAGGAAAGTGTGGCGTCAACACAGGATGTGCACCTGACTATATCGGGTGCAAGATGTTGTATGGTGGTTGTATTTTTTTTCAAAGCTAGTCACAAAAGAGCCTCTACACTTTGTCTATGTAGGAGCAGGCAATATGGGCAAACTCTTATATTAATGTACATGTCATTTCTTTCATAATTTGATTTAATTTGCTTCAAAACAATGCACAAGATATTTTCACATTGTTGATCGTTGGCGCTAAGCTAAAGGAGAAGGAAGGAAACAAACAAACAACAAAAATAAATAATAAAAGATCTTACAAAGGACACATTTAACACACATTTATACTCACTTTCCCTCAGTTACTATTTTGTACAGGCAAATCATGTACACACATATCATATATGTTACATGGATATGTCAGGAATGTCTCCTTCCCGATTTGAATTAAGTCAATTTGATCACCGGGTCATTTATGAGAGGTTGCCATAGATCTGTTATCCACCTATAGTATATCTGATCTCAATACCATTGTGCAACACTAGAAGGTTTTTCATGGATATAGTCAAATAGTATGCATTTTTTTCATTCAGATGATTGTCTATTTTTGGCAAACACACTGAATATAAGTATTTTGCAGAACATTTTTCAAACACATTACAGCCTAAGGAGAGGAACATATTCTCCCTGATCACCTTTAGCCTCTGAATATTGTGCTCAGCTGTGGTGGTTGCTGCTTCGTCATCGTTCCTCAGCTGCTGGAGGTATTTGGATTGGTCAGATTATTGATTTATTTTGGACCTGGTTACTTGCAAGATGTGACCCAGCAGTAGCAACCCAAATCAGGGCCTCAGGCTTTCAGTGATATCACGGCTGATCGATCCATGTTTTTATACAGTCTAAACAGGGAAATTCTGTTAAAATGTGTTTAGCGGCGCTGCAAAGAAGTCAAGAACAATTATGAGATACTTTCTGCTGCTTTACACTAAATTGATATAATACCGTTTGCAGATTGAGATTAATAATCATAGGTGTCATTTACACAGGGGACGCCGGCGAAATGTCCCCATCACTTTTTGAAATGCCGATTTTGTCCCCGTCACTTTTTGAAAGCATTTGTTTAAAACGTATCTAAAAATACCTTGCACCAAAAAATGTTAACTAATAAATGAAAATACTCTGAGAAAGGTTTATTTGCACAATAAGAAAATATGAAATGCAATTTAAATATAGAAGAAAGAAATGTGCATTGTCCAAAAAAGTAACTTAAGGCAAAAAAACAAGCTGCTGATTACTGCATTATATTCTGTTATATTTTAATATTTATGAATTGTCACCTGCCATCTGAATTTTGTTTACCTTTATATAAATACATAAACTGGAACAGAAAATTCCTCCAGAATGCAGGAATTAAAGGTTAATTGCTCTAATTTTCTGAGTGAGAACCCCCAGACCTCCCCCCATATATTTCAGCATTTACCATTTCTATTATATCTTCAAAATAGCATTGTCACATCTTGTGATCCAAGTGTATCATCACACCCCTAATCTGAGCCCTTATGTCCCCACCACTTTTCAACACAAAGTGACGGCCTTGTTAATAATACGAAACATAATCAACAAATAAATTATGATAAATAATCATAGGTGAAGATGAGACTTTATTGATCCTCAGACCTAAATTCACAAGCTCCCCAGCAGAATATAAATCAAGTAAAATTAGCTCTGCCTTTACCAGCTGCAACATTAAAGTGATTAATGCATCAATAATTATAATCCAATAACATAGATTATTCTGAAATGGGCCATTCTGCAATGAGTACTTTAACTTCTGGTAATATAATATTTTAACGAATACTTTATGAAAGTTTGAATGCATAACTTTTACTTCTAACAGAGTATTTCTACACTGTGTTGTTGCTACTTTTACTTAAGTAAGAGTACTTCTTCCACCACTGGTGCTTTGCTGCTTCTTTTTCTTCGTAAATATGAGGGGAAGCCTCTCACTGTATCGCTTCTCTTCACAGTGAGAGTTGGGACCCTGAGGTGGTATTGTTGGAAGATTAAAATGGGTCCCTGGGTTGCTCTAGGAAAACTGATATCTGGGTTATGTTGCAACAGCCCTCCTGCCTCTCCCTGTGATGAGCTTAATAAAATACTGTGGGTTAGCAGGTTAGTAGTCGCAGGGGGAGAAAACTGAAAGAGTTTTAATTTGAATGAGTGGACTCGGAAGGCTTCAGCAGACTCTTTTCATTTTCTTTGTATTTATAACTTCCCTCCTCACCCCCTTATCTGTCTCCTTCCAGAGGCCATCAACTGTCTAAATCAGGCCATTGACATCTACACTGACATGGTAAGCTTTGCCTCAACCACCCATCTGCTCCCTGAGACAATCATTCTTGTCTTGATAATTCTCTCTATGTGTGTGTGTATGTTTCAGGGTCGGTTTACCATCGCAGCCAAACATCACATCACTATAGCGGAGGTTTATGAGGCTGAGCTGGTTGATATTGAAAAGGTTTGTCTCAGTAGATTAGTGATTTTTGATTATGTTTTTGTTTAGTATAACTTACGCATGAAATCAGGTTTTTAAATTTAAACATAAATGGTGATCTACTGTGCTGACTTACGTGTTTTTGTTTTGTTTTCAGGCCATTGCTCACTATGAGCAGGCAGCAGACTACTACAAGGGAGAAGAATCTAACAGGTATTTGTGTCTGAAACGAGTAGTTGATTAATCAGTCAGCCTGTCAGTGGGACATTACTCTGCAACTATTTTAATACTTAAATAATAATTTAATACTAAGTCAGTTTTTAAGCAAAAATGGCAAAAATTTGTTGCTCTTACTTTTCTTACATTACAGTAATGTGAATATATTTCGATGTTATACCATTTGTCAGACAAAAAAAAATATTTGAAGATGTCCCCTTGGAAATTGTGTTGAGATCTTTCGTTATTTCCTGATGTTGTTTAAACCAAAACATAATAATAAGAATGATGACAATAATAATAATAATAATAATAATAATAATACAAAGTGCTTTAACAAGTGCAAAGACAATGAAACACAGATAAAAACAAATACACAATAAAAGCAAGAAAACACTTAAGAGACTAAAATACATCATATATATAAAAGAGAATAAAATAAAATCATCTAAAATCAGGAAAGGCTCTCCTATAAAAGTATTCTTTAAGAAAGGACTTAAAAGAGTTCAGTGACTCAGCTGACCTGATAATTGCCAAGCTGACTGATTATCATGCATGAATATAAATATAAATATTTTCACTATGTAGCTAACTTCAGTTAGCCTTTTAGCACAGATATTTGACCGGACTGTGGACTAAATGTTGTTGACACTGGAGCTTTGAGTCACACTAAAAAGTGCAATCCTGTAACAATATGATGAGGTGGTCAGTGCATAATGTTGACTCGCAATCCCATAGATGTATCACAGCACAGCCAGTTGGCCTTTACAGTATGGTAATACAACTTCCATCATCTAAATTAGACTTCTAATATTTGCTCGGCCTCACAAATATTCCTGTTTTTACTCTCAGGCGGTGAGGATATTGGTGGAAACATTTGTATGTACAATATGCATATTAACCTTTAACTCGTGGATTTCTTTGTTTGTGTGTTTCAGTTCAGCCAACAAATGTCTTCTCAAGGTCGGACACTACAGCGCTCAGCTGGAGCAGTACCAGAAAGCTATTGAGATTTATGAACAGGTATCAGCTGAGTACAGAATAATTAGCTCACCTCTGTATGGTACTGCAAAATCTAATAAATATTACATTTGTTAATGTTCAATTCTGATTTATTTCTGTGGCGTCAGAGAAATATTGACTTAACTTCATACAGAGACTGTAATTTGTGATTTTTTATTTGACAGCGTTGAATTGTAAGGTGTTAAATTAAATAGTTTTTTATAATATGAATAAACATTATTTATCTAGAACCTTACTTAGCCAAGTCTCTGAGTGCTCCAGTGTGTAAAGCAAACACCTATAAACATGTACACACAGTAAAACAAAATATTTGTGAAACCCCATGAGATTATAAGAACATACGATCTGATCACATGCTGCCTTAAAGGTCAGTCATTTTGTGCATTTCTGTATTTGTTTCAGGTTGCTATGAGCACCATGGACAATCCTCTGTTGAAGTACAATGCTAAAGAGTATTTCTTCAAGGCTTCACTGTGCCACTTCATAGTGGACGAACTGAACGCCAAGGTAACACAAACACACATATTGAACCCATACTGAGACTGTCAGGCAGCCACTTGCATACTGACACACACAAACGTGATGCATAGTTATAGTTTTAAATATTTTAAAACGTTGTATGGTGACCTTATTTGTGAATGTAAGCAAGCATCCACAATTTTGTCCTAATATGCATACATTTGTGTGTGTGTGTGTGTGTGTGTGTGTGTATTTCAGCTGGCCATAGAGAAATATGAGGAGATGTTTCCAGCCTTCTCAGACTCCAGAGAGCTCAAACTGTTAAAGGTACATTTATTTCCATATTCTATTCTAACATTTTGTAAAACATAAACATGCTCGGCCCAAACTAACACGAACACAACAGACTGAAAAGTACTTTTTCATGAAGAGTTTTAGTGTGTCATTTAAAAAGGTGTAAAAAATGTATTAAAAGTCACATTTGCTACTGTTATCAGCAGCCAATAATAAAACGTTTTAATTATTAAGGAATATTAAACAAGTATTTTGTTGGTTAATTTGAACATTTTTATTAAAGATATGAGCTCTTCCGTGTTCAATATGCACACTCATCATCCCTTAGTGTTATTAAAGTGTCATGTTTTGTTACCACAGAAACTTCTAGAAGCCCATGAGGAGCAGAACTGCGAGGCGTTCACGGAGGCCGTCAAGGACTACGACTCGGTGTCTCGTCTGGACCAGTGGTTGACCACGATGCTGCTCCGCATCAAAAAGACCATCCAGGGAGACGCAGGGGACCTGAAATAGACAAATGTAGAGATAGGGGACGAAGGGAGGGAGACGGTGGAGAGGGGTGGTAATTAAATGACAGGTAAGGGAGTGTAAAGATGTATTTTGGTAAAAAGAAAAGGTCAAAATGAAGATAGAAAGGGAGGCAGAAAGATGAAAAAAAAAGGTGGGTGGGACTGAGGAAGTTTACAGTTGTACATATCAGTCTGCATGTGACCCCCAACTAGCTAAGCATCACCTTTACACCACCTTTAGATGACTCCGTGCCCCCTGGTCCTACAGTATTGCTCTCATAACACTGGACAGAATTGTATTTAAAGAGGAAGAGTGGAAATAAAAAGGTGTGTGTGTGAGAGAGAGAGAGAGAGAGAGAGAGAGTGTGTGTGTGTGTGTGTGTCCATTGCAGTAAAGTAAATTATACTATTTGACGGGAAGCTCATATCAGATTTAAGGATATATGTTACTGAGAAGAGATAATAATGTTATTTATGAGATTATTGATATTTATTGCCAATACTAAAAATATTTATTGTTTATTATGGTGCTCAGTGTTACTATTTGTCTTAATATTTTAGGTATTAGCCCCTCTCTTCTTTTATTCTCCTTCCTCTCCTCATTTTTTCTTCCTCCTCCTCCTCCTCCTCCTCTCATCCCTCTCTGTCTCCCCTCGTCCTCTCCTCACTCCCACGCCCCATCAAGTCAGTGATATCACCTCTTGTGATTGGTTGGTTCTTTTTGTTCTGGCCAACAGTTGGTCGCCGCAGTCAGCCGCCAGTGCTTAATCCTGTCTACTGCCTTGTTTGTGCATGTCTGTTGTCATGGTTGATGTGAGTGTTCTCCGTGTCGTGCTAACGTGTAACGAACATACATGTAGCCTGGTATCATTTGTGTGAAGTAAAATATGTACCTCAGATACCGAGATGAAATAAAAAACGCCATCGCTCCACATATCTGATCTTTTTGGTGTTTTTTCCCCCCCGGCATTTAGCATGAATATAAGCAGATGGTTGGACCACTTGGCGTACTTGCAGCAATGAGTGGTTGTAAAATCAAGGTCACATCATGACTGTAGCACTGAGAGGACTTTGTTTAATGCAACAACTAGCTGGCCATGACGTCATGCTGCAGCAATGGCAGCTCCCAAAGTACAACGTCACTCTGGACTAAATTGATGCTTGATTTTAACACAAAACAAGCTTGTTTTAATCCCTTAAAATTACATTTAAGGGTGTTTTAGGTTATAGAAAAGCAACTCTGAACTGTAACTGTCATTGCTTAGGTATGGAGTGCTTTCAATGGTGACAGCAGGTAGGCTAGAGTCTTTACTTGAAATGAAATCTTGGCACATGATTGTGCATACTTGAGTGACCGGACAGTGGTAGGGAACAGGGAGAGAGATAGGGGACCACATGCAGCAAAAAATCCTGCAGGATGGACTCAAAACGGGCAGCTGCAGTAAGGATGTGGGCACTCTGCCAAGTGAGCTCACCACACTCATAAACAGACTTTTTAAAAATACTACATAGGTGTAAGCAAATGTATTGGCAAATGATTTTACAGTAGACTTATTACAAAAACGACATAATTAAGCCCTGTATATTATTCCTAGAACTGCTGGTGGACTACTACTGTGCACCTGGCTGTTAAATATCTGTATTTAATACATAAAGTGATAGGACAGGTTGTAAAGGTTTATGGTAGCATATGACATTATTAAACTATTATGTTTTTATGTGTTTGTCTTAATGAAACAAAATTCGTTATTATCATTTGTTGTAATTAGTCTCCGGTGTGGAAATTTGCAGATGTATCTGTATATTATATTTTAATTTTAAAAGCGTGAAAACAAAGCACAGATAGATTTTGATTTGTACAGGTGTTACGTCGAAGTCTGTTCCCCCTTCGAAAAGTTTCCCCTTAAACCGTTGGCATTTGGGGCCAGAGCCTGTGTTATGTTATTAGTAGGCGTCAAAAAGATAACTGGTTGGGACTGGGGTAATGTTTTGATTAGTTTATGATTATTTAAATTAAGTTTGGGCTCCAGTTGTGGTAAAGCGGAAACATTATTCCGCTGGAGGGGGTGACAGATTTCCTCGCTTGTAGAACAACACCCACAATACATTGCGGCGGACCCGTTTCCGGTGTGGTGCACGCTCGTTGGTCCCTCGCATTTCTCTGTGTGTTGGATTTCAGTTTGAGTGTAAATCGTGACCGTCATTTATATTCTGAACTGGTTGAGAATCAGTTATAACAGTTTTACTGCGGGAGGAGAGAGAAACGAGCCGCAAAGATGCCGCGAATTATGATAAAAGGAGGCGTCTGGCGCAACACTGAGGTACGTGTTTACACGGCTAGCTGCGTTAGCATAGCGCTAACCGCTCATCGTAAACCTATGAGGCTTAGTTAGCATGAAGCTAGCTGCTCACTTCACGGACTTTAGCTCGCTTAGCAAGTTTTTGGTTTATTTGTGTTGCTGTCAGCGATTGCGAAAGACTTTAGTAAATACTGCTTTTGTGAAGTGAACAGTAACGTGTTTAGTTAGTAAATATGGCTACGTCATTAGCAAGCACTACTGCAACCTGCAATACTTTGTAAATGTTAGCAAGAGAGCTAACGTAAAGTGAGAATAATTGACAGCAGTGGGTTTGTCTTATGGTGATTACAGAATGTGTTGATTCAGGATTCAAGAAGGTTATTGTCATAAGCACAGTAAAAACCGCAACGGCTTGGACCATACAACGAAAATCTTGTTTTGGAAGTAAAATATTTAACGTTTCTTATGTCGATATATGCAAAAAACATTAAATACAACAACATATGCAGACTACAAAATAAAGTTAGGCGCAGCAGAGTAGGTTCAAGTGGAAACAAAACCTAGGAGCCTTGTGCTACGGAAGGGCAAAAGTCAGCAGGAGTGATGGAGAGTGGAGCAGAAGGTTGTAATAATAATGTTTTATATAAAGAGGCTTTCAGAACACTCAAGGTCACCTGACAGAACATAATAAAACAGTATAGCAATAAATCAATAAAATTAACAAAAACTGAAATTACAGTGCAAATAATCAAGGTAGATAAACAACTGGAAACATAAGATCGCTGTGGCCAGAAGAACAGTGATCAGGTTGGATAGGCCGGTTTGTAAGATGTGTTTTAAGGTGGGATTTAAACATGGGAATGTGATGTTGGGTGTACTGTTCAAGAGTCTGATGCACTGTGGGAAAAAGTTTATTGGGAGTCTTTTTGATTATCATCAGTGTTCTGATTGGATTAAAAAAGGTGATAGGATCATACTTTTGTGACTCTTTTCTAATCTGCACATCTATCCAGGATGAGATCCTCAAGGCAGCGGTGATGAAATATGGGAAGAACCAGTGGTCCCGTATCGCCTCCTTGCTGCACCGCAAGTCTGCCAAACAATGTAAAGCCCGATGGTGAGTCAAGAGACAAAGACATGTGCTGCAAATAACAGCAACTTCATTTCTAAAACTCTAATGTTGGAAGTTTTTAGAGATGTCCATGATTTTTTCAGATGTTTGTACGCATCAGCTTGTTTGTAACTGGCTGTGTTTGTTGTGTGTCTCTCTTGATCGTGATCTCAGTTAGATTGCCTCTTTAATTAAATGTCCTGCACTTCGGCTTTGTGTCTGTCTGTCTGCAGGTACGAGTGGTTGGACCCCAGCATCAAGAAGACAGAATGGTCCAGAGAAGAGGAGGAGAAGCTGCTTCATTTGGCCAAGCTGATGCCGACTCAGTGGAGGACCATTGCTCCTATCATAGGACGCACTGCTGCCCAGTGTCTGGAGCACTATGAATACCTGCTGTACGATTTTACACTATTTAAAACACATTTATAATCAAATTGTTAGTTCAAAGCAGACTCTCCCAGACCCTTGACCTTTATTCTAGAGTTATTTGCAAAGCAGTGTCTGGAGCACTTGGATTAAGTGTATCACGATTAGTGCAAAATGCTGTTGATTCACAATTTGTGTGTATTTATGTGTGTGTTTAGAGACAAGGCAGCTCAAAGAGACAATGAGGAAGAAGTGGGAGACGACCCCAGGAAGTTAAAACCAGGAGAGATTGACCCTAATCCTGAAACTAAACCTGCCAGGCCTGACCCTGTGGACATGGACGAAGGTATGTTCAATTAAGACAATGATGGCGAGACTGACTTTTTAATTAAACTTCATCCAACCCAAGGGACAGAATGCACCCGGGTCCTGAGAATATCTACTCTATATGTGCTCTCACAGTTGTCTTTTACATTTCTAGTAGTAGTTTTTATTTACTCTTAAATGAAGAATTTCAAATCTAACAGGTTAAACTTAAGCCTAGTTCGCACTACTTGATTTGCCAGTCAACAAGCTCACCGACCGGTCTGTTGTGTTTGCGGGCAAATCAACGTGTCTTACTCACCTCCAACTCTCCATGTAGCACAGACAATCCCTGCTACCCGCATGTGCTAATCCATTCTTTTACCCACATTGTTTGTCTTTAGGACGTTTACCTCTATAATAATTAACAAATCCTGTTTTGTGTGTAGATTTGCACATTTCCCGTTTCACATTTCACCTTTTTCTTGACAAAATGTGGTTTGGAGACCAGCCGTCAGGTGATAGTCGTTGTCAGTTTCTGTAGTGTGAGATCAATCTCGTAGCATGAACACCATAATGATTTCAGTCACAAGCCAGCAAGTCGTGTAGTCGGAACAGCACAGCTATCTGCCAGCGTTGAAAGTCATGTAGTCTGCACGAGCCTTCAACAGCATCTTGTGTCCTCATTAATTGAGTCTGTCTGTCTGTAGATGAGCTGGAGATGCTGTCAGAGGCCAGGGCTCGACTGGCCAATACCCAGGGCAAGAAAGCCAAGAGGAAGGCCAGAGAGAAACAGCTGGAGGAAGCCAGGTTGGATACACACAAACACAGTATTTACAAATACTGAGTTGTTATTTCTTTATTCAAACGGCTTTCTCTGAAATGTAATCATATTTTTTCATGCTTAATGTTTGTGTTGTTACTGTAGGTATGGGAAAGTTGCTGACAAGTACAAAATAATTGAATGTCCCTCACTTTGTGCTGCAGACGGTTGGCTGCTCTGCAGAAGCGCAGAGAGTTGAGAGCGGCAGGAATCGATGTTCAGAAGAAGAGGAAGAAGAAGAGAGGAGTTGACTACAACGCTGAAATTCCCTTTGAAAAGAAGCCAGCACAGGTAACTTTTAATTGATTTTGTTCATTTGAACAGAACCCAAAACAACAGCACAGCATTTGGGCTCAATCTAATTTTATTAACTGTGTAATTTCTTTTTTTAACTTTAAGGGTTTCTATGACACCAGCATGGAGCAGTACGTCGGACTGGAGCCAAACTTCAAACGACTCAGACAGCAGCACTTGGATGGAGAACTTCGCAAGTCAGTAATATTAGACACTACAATATTTTACTACATAAAGTTTGGATGGCAACACACACGAGGCTTATAATAATAAAAAGTACAGTAAATACACAACAAAGATATACGCAGAACCGTTAAATCACAAAGTCATGTTCAGCTTCATATAAACAACTACAATATTAAAGTTTAAACAGAAAACAGAAACACTTAATTAACAAGATTGATGCACATCGTACACAATAAAGACACACACACACAATCAACCCGTGGTCTTCATTCATAAACCTGCTTGTGTTTGTGTGTAGTGAGCAAGAGGAAAAGGATAGAAAGAAAGACAAACAGAAGATCAAGAAGAAGAAAGAGAGCGATCTTCCATCTGCCATCCTGCAGACCAGCGGCGTGGCTGAGTTCACCAAGAAACGCTCCAAACTGGTTTTACCTACTCCACAGGTAACCCACTACGCACAAGCACCTTTTAACTTTAATGTCCAAAAAGTCTGTCAAACCAGTGTAGGTACTCCTGTTTAAAGCACACTTAGTTTGTTTAATTGATCCTCTTTT